GTACCCCTATTCATATTTAAGAGTCGTATGTCAGTACCTCGCTCAGTCAGACGGCTAAGACGAGTTCAGGAGTGAGACTACAACTCTGAGTATAATGTTGGCTGCGAGTTTGTTTCTTTTTCTAGCTGCCTTGGTCTCAAAGGATGTGGTAGACGCATGCGGCGCGTTCTCGCAGCATCCGTTCGAACGTACATACCAGTAAGTAATTTATATTACCTAGAGCTTTAAGCTTAACTGGTGCATAACCTTACTACTGCGCCGAAAGGCCTCTGTTGGCAGGGCCAGTAGCATAACCTGACAGATTTACTATAAACGTTTGCTTGAGCAGGAGGTAATCACAGAAGACTCTGTCAAATCCTTTTGAAATATAGCCTGCGTAGCAAGCGTTTTTCCGTGTGGTTTCGGAGCAAAGAAAGACCATGGAACGACGAGCTCCTGAACGGCATTTTTTATTTTGGCTGCGCGAAAATTGACTCTCGTTCCACGTTCTTTGCTCCGAAAGCGCACGGAAACGCTTGCTACGCAGGCTATATAGCCACAGCGTATTTTAAAATAGTATTCAATGGCGGATCCAGGCTTCAGATAAGGGGGAGGTCGGTCTCCAAAAAAAATTTTTTCGGGATTTTCAGGATCTTGACTCGGGGTCTACAACAGGGTGTCTTTTTGGAACGGAAGCTTTTTAAAGAAGTAGACTGCCAGCAGTCTCTTAAATTTTCCTTTGCAAAGTTTATAGTTGCAATTCCAAATGATTAAGAAAGAAAAAGAAATATGCGAATTCCTTTTCTTCCTGTTCTGATCTAAGTTATGATGAAATAATTTCTTAGAGGCCAGGTTTGAAAACGGGAGTGAAAAATGACATATTTTGGTCTGATATAGGGTCAGGATTTGGAGAACCGGGCGGCACACTTCAACCAAGAATTCTCAGGAGTACCCTCCGAAGATACATGTATATACATGTACAGGGTTGGTTTTTGTCGTCTCTGTCCTCTCCTTCTTTCTTACTCATATTTGGAATTGAAGCAGTAAAAACGTTCGTACACTCCCCTAGTTCTCTAATAAAAACCATACCCGATTCCAGACCAAAATGAGCAAAGTTTACCCCCGTTTTCGGACCAATACAGCGCAAAACCCTACCCTTTCGGGCGGTACATACTTATATTGCTAATATCTTCCCCAGGTATATATAGTGGCATATCTTGGCCACATATAGGCCATATAATAACAACACTTTTTTGCACTGCCATTAATATAGATGGTGTTGCATGCAAAGGAAAAAAATAGTAACTGAATAAAAAGAATAATAAAAATGAAAACTAATTATAGATTTAAGTAAGGGCCTGTTTACATGGAGGTAGGGGACCCCAGGTAAGTGACGTGACATGTGGCAGGTTACCCCACCTATTATGTAATCATGATCAAATTAATTTGCGAGACTATATGGGCAGGCGGGTTACCCCACCTACCTGGGGTCCCCCACTTCCATGTAAACAGGCCCTAAGATAGGATACTGATACTGGAAGTATATAATAATACAATTGAGGTAATTATAAGTGACAGCGACAGCGAAATAAAAAGATGATTTTAAATTTAAAGATGATTTAACTGATTATTTCAACTAAATTAACGTAAAGTTTGACGTTGCTAGGCGATGGAATTGTGCTAACATATTCTTTCTTTCCGCAGCAACAAAACACACGAGGTACGCCTTTATATTATTCTATTTATGTTTTCCCTTATTTTGAAATGTGATACAATGACACTAAACCTTCGACCTTTAGACCCTGTTTACATGGAATGGGGGACCCCGGTCTAGTGGGGTAGGTTTCTTTTGTTTTGTGTCCCCCAGAGCGTGAAAACAAAAGAAACCAACCCCACTAGACCGGGGTCCCCCCCTCCATGTAAACAGGCCCTTAGAGTGTTTTTACTCACGTGACCAGTATCTATGCAAGATAAGGTAATTGAAACAACAACAACAAAAACAATATTTACGTGCCGAAAGAGTTCAACTCCCACAGCATTTGTTTGGAGCACCAATATGGCCGCCGCATGTCATGTGAAACCCCTCTCCTCCGCAGAGGCTCCCGCTCGGTATCCCTATAAAAATAGCAATAATCGAAAAAATAGAAAGCGCGCGGGGAACGATCGGAAGAGGGAAAAGGCACGGTCTGTTTTTCTTTCTCCGCAGCCTTCCCACAACACAAAGATGCCTCTGCGGCCCCTCTGCGGAGGAGAGAGACGTGAAACCTTGAGATAAGGCTCTCTATATGTTTATTTGTTTTTATAGCTCCTCGCACGAGATAAGCTCTAGTTCCATTATTTCATCCTTTTGATTGGGTGCGGCGTTTAATCGAGTGATATCATGATTATCATAATTTTGTTCGCATGGGCAGCTTTTTTTCACCAAATGGAGGCCGGCACATTCAATAACGTATAGTCAAATCCTCTTTGACATGAAATAACTATTCTTAGGAACGTAATGTTTATTAAATAAATGTGTGTTCTTACGTGGTTTATATTATTTTACAGTTAGCACATCCTCCGCCTTTGAATATCTTAAAATTAGGGGCTTATCGTGGAATTCAGGAATGCAGAAATCAGTTTGAGAATGATAGCTCCTGGTGGAACTGTACATTTGACTGGAAGCGCGTTGATCGAAAGTTGCCCATTTTTTTCAACAACACACTTCCTCATGGTAAGAATATTTTTGTATATTTGTGATATCTCTGGAAGGGGGGGGGAGGGCTGGGAAGGCGGAGGGAGACACTCAAGGGAAATTTGAGTAGAGGTGTACGGCCGAGGCCTTAAAACCCTGCAGACCGTGTTAAATACAAAAATCGTTCATTTCGCTTCCTTGTTCAAGACAAGAGAGATCATTTTATGACGGTCATGATTCATTTTGTTTTCCAACAAGATGGATTTTTTTTTTTCAGCCAGAATTATTGAATTTGCTTGTTTAGGAAAAAACATCGTTGGTACCACAAATTTAGACCATTCATCGTGACCCTTCTGTTCAAAAAGACACCCTTTCCAAGACGCTAAATAGTGAAATTTTATGCCAGCCCTGTTTGAGATTCGTTGTGATGGACTAGCATGCAATTGAGAACAAGTTTATCAAATACCTCCACTGGTAATTCATTTTCATCTGTGCGGGCCAGGGGGTTCCTTTCCGTCTTAGCTCATAATTAAAGGACAATAAAATTCTCATGACCGTATACTTCTATCATCATCATCATCTTCATCATGTACAACCAAACTCTTAGAGCGGGTTACCAGTAACCAAGGGTCACAAGGGTCTGGCCATCGATCAAATCTCAAGAACTCTTGGTGATATTGGACGCCTTCGATGTTGCCGTACCAGTACAGTACCGTACTATTAACGCTAGAGACAGATAATCCATCTTTTAAATCAGTCAAAATTGACGGAAAAACAGATGAATAAAGTCAGGGGGATTGTCCATATAAAATTAAGAACATTCCATTTTCAAATTAAGACGTATAATATGCCTGACACGAATTATCCAAGGGATAACCAGTCTCAGACGGATAATCCGTTCCTAGTGTGTGTACAGCCATTCTTGCAGTTCCTAGTAAAGCCGTTCTCTCTGCACGTGCCCTGGTCGTATCCTTCAACCAATATGCTGACGTAACCTATTCAAATTGCCCCCAAATTGCAAAGCTCCTACAACAACCAGTATTACCTCCACTTTCCGCATAGCCCCCTTTGAGTTAACTCTGCAGTCAGCGGGTACGGCAACATCGATTATTTTACAGACTCTATCCTCCTTCCCCACAACCGCGCGATAATATCCGGTCTTCTAGCCTCTATACATTACATGGTCGCACTGTATGTTGAAATCCCACAACACTTTAAATCTTATCCGTCTCCAACACTTTTAGAATCTCTCCATTTCTTGCATTTCCTTACAGCCACTCCAGAGACAGCCTTTCTCCACGCCATCAGCGCCGCCGCCATTACTTACGAATTGACCCTTAAATGCCGGTATAACATAGTGGGATGCTATTGTGTGATACGTCGAGTATCTAATAGTCGGTTGGGGCAGTTAGGATGTGGAGATAATGTTGAGTATGGAATGAACCAGACAAGGCTATTTTTCGACGAACTAGAAACTGGAATCGACGCTCGGACAGCAGTGAACAGGCATAACAACCGAGTAGGAAGAGAGGTACGGTAGTTGTAGTTTCAAGACAGTCTGTCGTCCTATATAAGGGAATTCGGATTCCGGAATTAGGGAAATTTTTGCTTGTGGAATCCGGAATGCGCCGACATTTTGCTTATGGAATCCGGAATCCTGGGACTTTGAAATCCGGAATACAGCTCTAGGAATCCGGAATCCCAGTAACGACTGGAATCAGGAATCCAAGTTCCACTGACAAAGACGGGAATCCAGTACCTGGAATCCAGATTCCAAGACTGTCTTCAAATCCCATGATAAGCACGAGACTTCGAGTCGTTTACTCCGTTGCTGATAGGAGGAAACGACTGGAAGTAATCGTCTAAAATTCAGGCTACTTACATGGACTACATGGGGGGAAGTCTGGGGAAACGATTTTAAAACAGCTTGCATGTTAAACGGGACCAGGACACTTTTTGAGCCGGTGGAAAATTTGTGTGGCGTCGTATGAATGTAGCCTTAATGTCATTCAGAAGCTGTCTTCCTCTTTCAAGGCACATCTTGGCGTGAACCAAATATGGTGACAGTCATTGCATATGCTATAATTACGGGATATAGTAGTTATGGGCATGTGTTCTAATCATTTCAAGCTTTTCCATTTAGCCGCAGCGTCATTTAAAAGGATGCAACTCTTTCCCTTTACAGATAGTTCGATCTAGTCTTATTACCTGGTGTAAATGCCATGGCTTCAATACAGCATGCCATGTGAAGACCTGCTGGAAGATACTGCCTCCTTTTCAAGACATCGGGAAAGTGCTAAAGAAAAAATACAGCGACGCTGTGCCGGTGTGGTTTGTGGGTAACAGGCTAATGGAGAAGATTGACGATAATATGAGGGCCATCAAAAAAGAGGACACAAGGCTTGTTTATCTTGATCCCTCCTCAAAAGTCTGCCCCCAAAATGACACCTTGACCCCGCCAAATAGTGAAATGTTTCGGAAAAAGTCGTGTACGAGCAAAAATAGCGCCAAAACCAACTGCCAGTTTTTCATGGCTTTGTGCAGCTATTTTGGTCTGAGACAAGAAACAGTGAAGGAGCGTAAAAGGTATAAGAGTACAGGTATTTGTAGACGTAAGAAAACTTGCAAGAAAACATACTTTACCACAACTTGTTACCGTAAACCTCAGGGTTTAAAAACTAATTAACAGGTTCTGTTTTTTGTTTTTTATCCTTTTCCAAATGTTTCTTTATTGTTTTCAGTGCTAATAAATATTTTTGTCACCCAATTTCGAAGCCAGTTTCTACAGTCAAACCTCTCGGGAGCGACTACCCAGAATGCGAAGATTTAGTGGTCGCTTACGAGAATCGAACCACGAAAGTTCCCTTCCCGGAAGAGGACCGATCACAGCTACATCTTTGAATAGAATTCACTGCATGAAGTTACGATATGTGTTGCCGGTTTCATGCAGAAGGACGATTCGCTTGGACTTAAGAAGATTCGCCCAATGACATACAACACTCTAGAACATGGTGAACCTACTTCTCCGAGATGTTACTTTAGTTAAACTTGGATTTCACAAGTACAGCCACTGTCTGTCCATGTTCTCAGGCTTAAAGAACGACAAATACACATCGGGCGAACCGACCTTCGGGCGAAACGACCAGATACCTCTCTTAGTAGTTTAGTACATAGAGCGGGCATAGATATCTACCATGTCCAAGTTTTCGCTAACAGGAAGATAAAATCAACGGTGAAATAACACTGAAGCCCTTGTAATTTCGAAAAGACTCAAGTTGCCCCAGTATGACCGAACAGATACGAATTTTGTAGCGACACTTCAATGCATTTATAGAGATCTGAAAGTGTTGTGGATAGTCTAAAAGGTGTTTTCAATGTATTAAGGAGGAAACCGGTGCCGCGCCCCCCTCTTTGGACGACGGCCGTAGATTTACCGATAATTTTAGATGCAATTAACATGTTACGAAAGTAAGAACTTTTCTGATTCCTCTCTCCATCACATTTTTGAATCCGAAAATTTTAAGTTTCTTTTTTCAGACGAAAAATAGCCAAACCTGGGCAGTTAATTGTGAAAAATTAAACTTAAAAACATTTATTAGATAAGCCTCGAAAATTTTACGTGAATGGAACGGTCATCTAGAAGTTTTTAGCCGTCCTGAAGTGATCGAAAATTCTAGGCAATTTTTCCTTCTCCGAACAGATATTTTACGGAAAACAGTCGTTGGGTGCTCCTGGAAGTTGGTTGTAATCGCGATTCCGATATGATTTGGTCTGTAATTTGCTTGCTTATGTACGTTGTCAGTCATTTTATAGGTGTCGGTAGACAGTAGATACGTACGATTTTGTTATGAACTGATCAGAATGTTAATTATGACGTTAGTAATAAAAGTACGCCTTTCTCAATTTCTTTGTTTTTTTTTTTTGGTTACTGTTATTTAAAGGGATAAAGCCTCTAAAAATTCTTCTGTTTTTGCCCACAGCCATTAATTGGAAGGGGATAATTCGAAAGTTCTTTTCTTGTACTTTAATCTATATAACCACATTTTATTTATTTACTAATTCATATTTATAACCTTTGAAAGGAGTGCAAATAAAATTCCTTTCTATGGATGTGAAAAAGACCATGGGGCTGTGAACAGGATACACGCAATTTTCATACCTGCGCGAGTCCACCCTACAGCCGTAGTTACCTTTAGTGGCTCTGTGTTTGTTCGAAAATTAATGTAATATTGGAACGAATCATATATACGTGACACCAGCATTACCGCAGTTGCTGTTTCGGAGCAAAAATTCCATTCTGCCTAGCGAAAAATCTCCCACAAAAATGACTGAACTCAAATATTTAGTTTGACCACGATTGAACTACGTACTCAGGAGCTGAGTAAATTAAGAATCAGTTTCATTCCAATATCATAACTGAGTCAGCCCGCTAGTTGGACTAGGTTAGTTAAGCAATAGACCACACTTTCTATGGGTTTACCGGCGTGATGACCCACGCGGGACGTTGGGAGAACGCGAGGAAAAGCGTGTATATGAAAAGCTTCTATGAGTTTACCGGCACAATAAACCATTGGTTTTTAACCAGTCAGAATGCGCGTTCTATCTTAGTTATTTTATAAAAAGAAATAACTTACTGTTTTCCATTCATTTATCGTGTAGATTGAATGATCTTGAGATAAAACGTAAACTGTATTACTGCTGAGACAACTATGTTAGCCTGTTAGTTTGACCAGGTTCGTTAGAACTAACTTAAGACCCTGTTGATATGGAGAAAACCTGTCCCGGGTGGGAGGGTAATCCTCCCAGCCAAGTCCATTTTCGCGATCGAATGTAAGAGAAAAATGTTGACCCCTTGGCCCAACCCAACCCAACAGCACTGACTGTCTAAGGGACTATTTGCATGGAGGTAGGAAGATCCTAGTACCAGGAAGATCCTAGAAAGCGGATCATCCTAGCGCCATATGTTGTCTGTACATGGTTTACATGAAAAGGGCTGTACTTGTCCATAGTGCTGGGATCTTCCTGGTATTAGGAGCTTCCTAGCGGACAGGTAGGAAGATCCTAGCACCATGTAAACTGCCTTCGCTAGGAAGATCCTAGTACTAGGGAAAAAACAGACAAAGATAACGGCGGGTCGTTCAGTGGCTAATAACGGCAATAAAGGCCGATCATTTCATTTGGTGTTACCACGAGCTGATTATTGTGATAATTCTGCTGAAAGGTAGTTATTGTTATTAACGCCAGTAAAGAGAGCAGAAGGCCCCCAACTGTATGTTTGTTTTTGTCGCCCGCCATTTTGAATTTCTTCTCAAACATTCCATATTTGTGTACCACACGGACCAAAATTTCTGCATGTAAACCCAACGTAAAGTTGATCCACCTTCTAGGATCTTCTTGGTACTAGGATCTTCCTCCCTCCATGTAAAGAGCCCCTAAAACTTGCCTTGACGGAGTTGATCCGGCTGGGCGAGCCAAAGTGATGGAGAATAGAAGGGTGTCTCTATCATCATAGAAGGTTTACCCTACTTGGTGGGTCAACCTTCTAACCGAGCCAACTAAATGATATTGTTTCTCAATTAAAAGGTTTGCCGTGTTTTGCAAGGACAATCATTGGGGACTTTAAGATCCAACGACGCGGCGACAACGAAAACGTCGCTTAAAAAGTGAATTTGCGTTCTTTCAGTCTTTATCGCAATTATTCCTGTCCACTTACTTTGTCAAATATAGGAGAACCCTCCTGGAGTTGAATTCCGAGGGACCATATCCAAGTTCAGAGAGGGAAATAAAATTTCGTGACGGTCGTTGCTTGTTTACGTACCCCATAAAACGTGAAATTAGGCATTTTCACGTCGTATAGTCGTGCAAAAACGGACAAAGAAATGTAAAAAAAAGCGTGCACGTGCAAACTTGTTGTTGTTTTTATAAAATCTATCGTTTTTCGACGTTATCGTCGAGGTCCGCGTCGTTGGATCTTAAAGTCGCTATTGTGTATCTGTATGAAAAGTTCGCTCGTCCAGGCTTGCTCGGTTGAGCGGGTGATCCTTCAACCTGGGATAACTTTTCTCCATATGCACGGGGCCTAACTATTAAATTGATATTTGACCAATGATGTTGACTAAAAGACAATTAACAGAACAGTGTTGGTAGAAATATCACCACTATATTAGCCTCGTTGTTAAATTTGGTTCGGAACTGGTAATTACCAACTTTCTTCTGAGCCGCCATATAACTATTGAAAAAACAATGAGAAGAATCCCCAATACTGTAACTACAGCGATTAAAGCGTTCTCCGTTCCTGCAAAAAATAATGCTACATTAATTATTATGAAACAAGTAAGATACATGGACACGTTGCATGCAGAAGAAAAGTAAAATAATAATAAAAAAAAAAAACAATCCAAATACGACACAAGATTAATTTCTTTACCACAAGAATAAAGCCTGAGAGAGGACGGCCGGTGCAGTAAAAGGATTCAACGTTGTAATCAACAAATTTAACACTGGATTGAAACAAAACAAACTCCTAAGATTAAGACAGAATCCACCAGGAAGTTGAGTAATTTAAATTTTTAGTAGACAAAAACCTTGTACGAGAATAATCTAAGGAATATTCCATTCTTTTTTTTCATTTTTCACGGGCTAAAGATGTAACTAGTCAGCTGTAGTAACACCAAAGAAAATTTCTTATTGCAGTCCGAGAAAATAAATTTCAAACTTCTCAAGAATTGTGAAAACACAGGTAAAATTCTGAACATTTCATGTGTAAGATGTCATTTTCTTAAATTTGACATTTATTTTCTCGGGCTCCCATAAGAAATTTTCTTTGGTGATATTTGTCCACTGAAAATTAAAATTACTCAATTTCCTGACGGACACTGTCTTAAATCTTTATTTCATGTGTTTTTACCCAAGGTACTCTTGGGGCCTATAGTAAACACACACCGCCTTTTCCCTCTTCAATTCCCTTCCCCTTGTGAACGCCTAACCCACAGCGACGTAGGCTACGTTCTTTCTTGAGCCCGAGATCTTTCCCCAGTAATGACCCTTCTCGATTCATTAACTTCAAAAGTGAATATCCAACCTTTGTCAGTAATGGCTTCCTTTTGTCCCGTTGGCGCTAAGGGTGCTGCAGTCGTAGGTCGATTAACTGGAATCATAGTAGGAACAAGTTCTGCCAAAGAAGGAACAAGTTTGTTCCAAAAGGCCATCTTTTCGGGAAGCATGTTCCTTTGAACGGAAGATGAAGGCTTCAGTGATACGTACTGTTTTTCCCCAAGGGTGTACTCTGGCCAGGAGACATTTTCTGCAGTTGGTTTTCTAAAAATTGAATGTTAAAAAAATGATAAAGGCGCACACGAGCCAAAGACCCAAATGGCCGGACTTTATCCTAGTTTCCTTCGCATGAAGCATGTCTAGGAGTATTGCTACTCCCTCATAGACGGGATGCTAGTCCATCACAGGGTTACCGCCAGCAGAATGTCGCCGGTACTCTTTTATACACCTGGGTGTGGAGGGACAAAGTGGAGTAAAGTTCCTTATCTAAGGAAACAACGCAACAGGCGAGGCCTGAGCCCCGGACCTCAAGTTCCTGAGTTCGAGGTGTTGACCACTCGGCCACACAAGCTTCCACTAAATTGAATGATACAAGTTAAAACCGTTAAAAATCTGACAAATACAAGTTGGATAAAAAGTAGAGGTAAAGAGTCAGTAAAGGAGAAAAACGGTCATAGCCAGTATTTAAAGTATTGGAGAAGGCAATTCAGTTTTAGTAAAAGTTGCTAGAAATATGCTATGATATCATTTTACGGGAGGAAACCAGGTTTACATGGCCTTACAAGAGATTTAAGGATTCCAATTATTCAGTAGCACGTGTGCGTGAATTAATTTCTCACACTTACCCATTCTTAGCAAAGTTGCTCCACAGGGTAATAACCTGCTTTGAGAACAGTATTTCCTTATTCTGTTCAGTGGGCAAAAGACTTTCATTATATCCCTTGTAAAAAGCTCCAAACACGTAAGGAAGATCAGCACCATGGAAAACTCCAGCCCATTCTGGAAAACCAGCTCTGCCAAAGTGATTGAAGCAGTAGAAGAAAGTCTTGATCTTGTTTTTCACAAACACCTGTGCAGAGCGAGCAGCTGGAGCCTTAAAAATTGCATCTGTAATGACATCCATATATTTTTGTCGTACCACTAACTGGTTCGTCTGGTTTGTCCAGTCTGTGTATTGAAATATCACAGCATCCACGACTTTCTGAGTTTGGTTTCCGACCCAGTGGCCATCCTTTACAAGCTTGTCAAAATATGTTTTATTGAGTCCTTTATCAATACCAGGGACTCCAGGGGATAATCCTAATAACAATAAACAAATGCAACTAACAGTGAAGTACGAACTTACAGCATATCATTTGAAAATTATAAAAGTACTACTACTACTGCTACTGCTACTGCTGCTACTGCTGCTGCTACTGCTACTGCTACTGCTGCTGCTGCTACTGCTACTGCTACTACTACTACTACTACTAATAATAATATCTGCCTACAATAAGGAATGTTCAAAATAAGTATGATAGACAAGAAAGAGACAAAGAGAAACCAGTCATCAGGGACCGATCTAATGTCGACTAGGGCAACGAAAACGCCAAAAGAACAACTTTGCACGTGCAGCACGCAGTTTTGTACATTTCTTTATAGTTTTTTCCATGACTTCGATGTGACAATACCTAATTTCATGTTTTATGGATTATGTAAACAAGCAATTTTCTTTCTCAACTTGGATAATGCTCTTGGAAATTCAACTCCAGGAGAGTTTGCTTATATTTAACGAAGTACGCAAGTTGGGAATCGTGATGAATAACTGCAAACTAATTTACTTTTTAAGCGACATTTTTCCCTGCTGTCACCATGCTTGCACCTTAAGGTTTCTACTGTCATGCTCTGGCAATGAAGTACACAGCTGTACTGCAGGTATTACAATCGTTTAAAGGGCGAATTTAGTCACATAATTGAAACTGAATGTATATGGCTTGAAAGAACAGTTACATTTCAGTTTGTCCTCGCAATCTGTGCTCAAATTTTGCTTATTCCGGGGCCACAGCATCCTTGAGTCAGTTTATGATCTAGTTTCATGTAGAAGATGACTTGCTTGCTTTGTCTATCTGACAAGTGAGTGTTAAAAGTTATTTGCCTGATGTCTGGGTAGGCAAGCCCTGAATTAAGCATTTAAGATGTTTACTTTATAACCTTTTATGGGAAGAACAAAAAATCCTCCTTCATTCTGAGTGACACCAATCATAGCTGGAACTGTCTGATTAAACTCTCCATTGACTAGAAGATTGAAAGGAAGATCTGCAGATTTAATCGTTAGAGCAAAATAAATACAGAAACAATATTATAAGTCAGCAGGCATGTTCATACAATAAAATTTTAGACCTTTTATAAACATGCCTGGAAATTTATTGCTGTTGCTGTATCTTCTCAAAAGACATTCAGTAATCCTCATTATTATGAAATAAGATGTGATAATATCATACTAATACATGAACGTATACAAAACATGGACACCCACCCGGTCCATGGACTACCCCCGTGGAGCACCCCTCATGAATTTTTACTAGACTTAGACTTTTTACTAGAGGACTCGCTATCGCTCGTTCAATACATGTACATCAAGGCCAAGGCCTGAGATTTCCCTGTAATGACCGAACAGATGAGGTTAATAAGTTATTTATCTTTTGGCCTTTTCGCGATTGACCAACAACTGGCCAGCGGATAACTTTAAAAACACATCACCTCAATGCCATATTGGGATGTCCACTATCAAATTTAACAAAGATCGTATAATTATTATAGCTATTTCGAGAACATTTAGGTTGTCACAAAAAGTGCACGCGACAATCCCAAAAGGCATTGTGGGTGGTTTTGAGGGCACTGTTCTTCAAAGAAATTTGAAAGAATGCTATGGGAGGCCATGGACATATGTTTGCGAGTACTAAAGGAAAGCAACAAAAGTAGGTTCGACAGCTTCAGTCGTTACGAACAGTGTATTGATCATATCCCATATTACCTTTCGGGATTGTCGTGTGCAGATTTCTTCCGACAACCTTTCTCAAAACAGCTGTATGCCTAGATAGCTTGATGTCCAAGCTTGAACACCCAGCTAGTAATACCTGGTCATCACAAGAAAACAGCAAATCAGTGCGCGTACTGTTGTAGCCATTTACAATGTAATAATTATCTTTATTGAGCATGCTTGACTTCAAATCCAAAATAAAATCAATGATTAAAAACAATTTATGACATTATCAAACTCACCATAAAGAAATTTATGATCAACAACAGGCAGGAATGGTCGGCCACTGGTTATACTATTTGTTAAATTTTTCTGGGCTTCAAGTATCTCACTTATATTCTTTTTTTCCAAACAGCTCTTTAATCCATCCATACTGCACCCAAGAAGGTTTGCAATTGCTCTGTTGGCAGGACAACAGTCATGGATTAGAATTTGTACATAACAGAGACTGAAATATTAACATAAAATCTCTATTAACCAGTAGTGATTGTATATTGGGTTGCCTGTGTAACCCATTCTCATAATGCATTGTGGGTGAGTGTGACAAATTATACAATATGGCCGACAGAAATGAGTGTTGTTCCCTGAGTGTATAATCCACCCCCATCAAGGACTGATCTGGCATTGAGACATTTACATTAGCTACAAGGATCAAGTTAACAAGATTTCCCGGCGACATGGCGGGAAGGAATATCGGACCGCTGGATATTTCAGGATCAAAATCGGAATTGAGTGAGCAATGGCGTGTTTGGCTGCAAGGAATCACATACTAGAGCCTACACCTACAAAATCCTGTGAGAACGAGAAGCAAATTACTTTATCGGGCCAGTTCTGGAGTGCAGGATATTTTTGAGAATCTTACAATATTGTTCCCCTAGAAGATCAAGCTGATGATGTTTATCAATAAACCATTTGTGCTCTGAATGCATACTTTCACGTGCAAGAAAATGCTGCATACAAAAGCCATTCTTCGCCAACTAGGTCAAGATCCCAGAAAAGATGTGGACTCGTTCCTGCTTCGACTAAGGAAACAAGCAAGACACTGTGACTTAAAATGGAGTTGAAGACGTCAAATTTACAGTAAGAGACCAGCTGGTGGAGAAAGTATCATCCCAAGAGTTACGGACCAAGCTAGTTGAGGTTCCTAGCATACAGCTTGCAGCAGCCTTGACTACAGCCAGAGCGTGGAAAAAAGCATGCCGTCAGACAAGCAAAATAATTGCAGGAGGAGAGGAAAAGAGCAGAGTGAATTTGGTGCAGCACAAAGCAGACCAAGAAAAGCCAAGTGGGCAAGGCATGCAGAAGTGCTATATGGGTGTGGTAGATCTGGGCAATTGCATGTGACAAGGTGTGTCCTGCGAAAGGAAAGTTGTGTGCTAAGTGTGGCAAGAGAGGGCACTGGACAGCACTGGGCAGCGTGTTGCAGCAATGAGGCAGATGGAAAAGGGAAATTGTGTAAGTGATGGAAGAGCAAGTGGGAGTGATGATTGACAATCATGAATGTGGTGCTACCAGCAGACGTAATTTTAAAAAAAGGGGCCAACAAGTTAATCAAGTGGACTACGACAGTGAAGAGCTGGAACCACTTGCCTTGCCAACTAACTACAATGAGGAAAGGGCGAGTGAAGATAACAATATTGCAGCAAAGATTAATGGCTTGAGGAGCTTGGTAAGGAACAGTTTCACAACCTAGTGAGGAGTGGCCTTAGAGCAAATTTAATACCAGAAGACAGGAATCTTCATGTCATCAACTCTGTGGCAATGGGTGTTTAGCAGTGGTTGGTAAATTTGAAGCTACAATTGAGTGGCAAGAGAAAAAAGTAGTGGAAACTGTTTTTGTATAAATATAAGGAGAAGGGCCGTATTTGCTTGGTAGCCCAGCTGCTAAAAGGCTACAAGTGCCTGAGGTTGGACCAGAACCGGTGAACATGACGACCATATATTTCAAAGACAGTGATATTTACGGTATTGTGGGGTATTTCTCAAAGGTGTTCTCTGGGGTTGGCAAGTTGTCCGCAGGTACCAGCTTAACGTTGCACATCAATCGTGAAGTTACAACAAAAGCACAGAAACCGAGGTGGATCCCTTACCCTTTGAAAAAGATAAAGTCCAGAGAAAGATTGATGAGCTTCTTAACCTTGACATCAACAAGAAAGTTTTTAGGCCCATCAACCGGGTCAGGCCAGCTGTGATAGCTCCTAAGCCAAACAAGGATGATGTGCGTAATATGTCTCGACATGATGCATGCGAACGAAGCAATTCAAATTGAGCTTGAGGAGGGGTCAAGGGATATCACAATGAACATGAATGCTCCTGAACAGTATCAGATCATCATTAGACATGCAATTGCTGATTGCCCTGGTGCCACCAACAAAGCTGATGACATTGTTGAGGAGCATGACAGAAACCAGGTGACATTGCTAGAGCGATTACAGGAAAGAAACCTGACCCTTAACAAGGACAAGTCCAAGATTGGAATGATCAATCAAATAATTGTTTTCATAAGAATGCTTTTAAGTCAGCATGGTGTGGGATCAACAGAGGAAAAGGTCAGAACACAGTTCATGAAACAGACTCACTACCAGTGTTGCCGAGTTGCACAGTTTCCTGGGACTTATCAGTTTCAGCTCAAGGGTCTTGCCAAATTTGCAACAACCGTAAGAACACTACAAAAGTTGAGAGAACAGACACCAAGTGGCAGCCGTGGGGCAAAGAGGAAAATGAAGCATTTGAGGCATTACCTTTTTAAGCCCCAAATAATGATATCCACACACAAATTCTCCAAACTGATCTCCATACATTTCCTTCATGAATGAGTTGAGAGAATTTGATAAAAGATCAGGGCATTTTCCCTTAAGTGATCATTTTATTAATTCTCGTAACCTATATCGCTTGACATTATATGGATATCGTTAGGAGCAAATTGACGTTAGTCACTATTGGGACTTTAAGGGTTAAAGCAGACTTTAGCTAAGGTGCATCAATTAATTATAGCCTTTTATGACAAGAACGCTCCAACTGAGGTGGTCACTGATGTGAGCCCTGTTGGACTTGGGGCAATACTAAACAATGGTCAGAAATAGGCGTTTTTCCTCCCACAAAGGTCACAGAGACGTGAAGAATTTTCCAAATGGCATGAAACTTGGCAGGATTGTTGCTTGAGAGATTCTACATTTTTTGGTGGCAGTTTGACAGTCTTGACTGACATTGTGACATCTCAAATAGTTTCCAAATTTGGTGCCAAAATTTAGAATTAAGAAAATCATCAGAAAAACCACATAGAGGTGTTCTGTGATGAGAGTGAAGCTTTCCAGTGAAAACACCGTTAAAATCCATTAAAACGGGACAAAGTTACAAACTATTTTGTGACTGACAATAAAAGAAGGAATTTAAAGAATTTAATTGTTTTATTACCTTATATGGTTAAACTTTAGGGAGGTTTCCAGTTCAAGACAATAAATGGAAGTTAAAAGAAAAATAGCGGATAACACAATGGAGAAAATTTGTAGTTTTTTTAATTTGGGACTCTATAGGTATTTTCACTTGTGACGTCATCATCATGTCAATATGACGTCAACATGGTATGAAATGACGTAACATGCAACCTGACACCCCATGTCCCAAATTTAAAAAACTACAAATTTGCTTTTATGCATGGTTCGCTTAGTTTCCTTACTGTTTCTTTTAATAAGCTGGAGTTTAAATACCCCTAAAGTTTGACCATATATGGTTAATTCCATACATTTGGCGGGAAATTTGAATTTCTTTAATTAGCTCTAACATTGCAACAATTTAACGGATTTAAGTGGGGTTTTCACCAGAAAGCTCCGTTTTTTTCACAGATTTTATTTATAAAGTTATTTACGTCAAATAATTAATTCCAAATTTTAGCGCCATGTTTCAACGTCACTTATGACGTCATACTGTCAATCAAAAGTATAGAACTACCATCAATACATGTGGACTTTCTTTTACTATCTTCATGCCAAGTTTCGTCTCGTCCGGAATATTTCATAATCATCTATGTGTCTCTAATGAGCCATGTGGGAGGAAAAACACCCATTTCTTAACACTTTTTACCTCCATTGTTTTGTAGGAGAATTGTCAATTAAAGAAAGGTGAGAATAAAACAATTTAAAGCAGCTTGCAATGTGTTAACTTACTTTGCACTCTCAATTGCTGTTTTGTTGTCCATACTAGCAAAAGTTGAGGCTGCTGTTCCACTTTGAAGGATAACCTTGTGGTAAAGACCTGCACTCATTGGAGACATCATATGAAGACCAACACTACAAGCTCCAGCTGACTGGCCAAATATTGTCACATTATTTGGGTCACCTCCAAATCTAACAAAAAGATTTGAATTGGGAAAACTAAATTGCAAGTTTGCATTTCCTATCCTCACTGCGATTAATTTGTCATAAAATACAATAATTAACTTTCAAAGTATATAACTTTAAGGTGCATGTTTGTAGTTTCATTATTTATTTATATTTTTTATTATTATTTTAGTTTGACCTCCCTACCTTCCAACAAGTCCTTCCTTCTTACAACAAGTCAATGCTGAGCTAGGTAATGTTAATGAGAGTTACTACCATTAAATTTGGCATTGAATTGCAAAGATATCTTGCTGCATGGTGGTTTGTACATTAATGATCCCTTCAATGGAGAGTTCCTCCACATCGTACTGCACAAACTCGCGGGGCCCCACTCTAGTATACTTCTGGGCCTTCCTTGATACTTCTAAGCTCACGTGCAGTTTCTGCACTACCAATTCTTGTCTCTCCAGAATGTTGCATTTTTCATTTTTCTTCCCACCGCCATCTCTTAAACATGCCCCAGGATCTCCTTCAGTCTGCCATGTTTGGTTGAGCCCACAAGGCATCTTGGTCTATGGCAGTGATAAATTTGTCAATTTGTTTTAATTTCACTTACTTTCAATTGACTTAATCGCTTTGAGATTAATTTCATTTAACACAGAAGGCTTTGATTTCCTTTCATTTCTCATTTTGAATTGTTTTGGAAATGAAATGAAAATAAAACAAAATGAATAGAATAAAATAAAATAAACAAAATGAGATAACGAAAACCATTCATATAAAAGGAAAAAGCTGAAATTATAACAACATCCCTATGGCAGCTCTAGGCCACCACAGAGAACTGCTCATTTTGCCATCAATATTTGAAAACGGGTACTGGGGATTTTAACTTTGAACAAAAAATGAAAACATAAATGAGGTTTAACAGGGATAAAAAGAGTGAGAATGTCAGAAGCAATGTATTTTGCAAACTTCAACAGAAGTGTGTTTGGGCTGAGTGTGGGGTGTTACAGTTTGAGCTGATGAAGCGTCACAAGATAAGCAGCCGAGGTGCATGTGATTGATGAAGTTGGAAGCTACTTTACCATCGTGGACACTTTGGTTTATTTTTGTCATTTCTTCCTGAATATTTTGAGACTGAAACAATTTTAATTTTCCCAATCCGACATTCACAAGTTTTCCTAGCTCAGCATTGCCTTGTTGTAAGATAGGAAGGTAGGGAACAGAGGTAACATTGCACAGCATTACATTTTTAGAGTTAAATAAAATAGTTACAAAGCCAAGAATCAAATTGAAATTCTTCCATTGTCGCTCAAAATGCCCTGAAGTACACTTTTCAGAGCCCTTAAGATAATATTATTTCCCGACAGAAACCCCCGGGATTTCTCAATGGCCCCCCATACCCCTCCCTAGGCTATACGAAGGTGCCGTGCCTTCTTGATTAAACCAGGCTTAATATATGTATAAAATAAATAGTTTACGTACTTTTCTATGTTCTCCTGAACCCATTCTAACGCCTTTACTTGATCCAAAAGCCCAAAATTTCCTGGTAGATCTTCTGTTCCCGTAGACAAAAACCCCAGCACACCGATTCGATAGTTGAAAGTTACGACTAAAACTTCACCCTCAGTTGCCAAATACCCACCATAGTACATTTTATACGCTGAAGTACCGCACTGAAATGCTCCTCCGTATATCCATACCATAACTCGCAACAGCGAACCACCTCGTGCTTCATTGCGGGGAACAAAGACATTCACTGAGAGACAATCCTCTTCGATCTTTGTTGAGTTGTTTAACAATATGCTTGGCAGCTGTGGACACGAAGCACCGTACGAAGTAGCGTTTTTTATTGTTTCCCATCGCTTTGGCGATTCAGGGGCTTCAAATCGCTTGGCCCGGGCAAACGGTATTCCAAGATACTGAATGACTGTTTTGTTTGTATTCAAAGGGATGACTTCTCCACGAACTGGGCCATTTGTTGTGTTCACGATCGCCGCGTCTAAAGCGGAGACTAATGAAACTGAAGCCAGCAATAAACTGATCATCCCAAGGGCAATAGCAATGGTGTGATACATGTCCTTCCAAAATAAGGATGCAATATTCTCAAGCAAAGAGGTTTGTCGTTTGCATGTATCAGCCCCGACTTGTGATGATCCGATATCGCGATGCTGCGGCGTGAAATTGGCGGGAGAATGGGCCTTGAGAAACCGGAAGCTAGAGCAAACCAGTTAAGGAAAAATAAATAGATCTAAACTGAAAGGCACGCGGACCAACGAACTTTAAAAGAAAACGGCCGTTCTCGGAACAGCTGTCTCAGTTAATGCTTTCTTTCTTCTCAGACTGCCGTCGGCTTCATAGCAGGTTGCCATGTTCGGGGAAATATGTACCGGGTACCGGTCAAAGAAGGGTAAACTTGAAAGATGGGTGGGTCTTCGAACTCATGAAAGTTGCTATCGTAGAGTATCACCCGGAAGCTCCCCGTTCCCCCAAGAACTGTATATGCTTGCTGGAATATACTGTACCCTTTTCTGCCCTATAAATGTTAAAAAGCCTTGCAATATGAGGTAACCAGACCTTTACACTCGCCACAAGTCCCCTAGCGACGTATCTAAGTCTCCCGACTGACCAGCAAACCTAGCCTGAATTTCATCCGATTACTTCGACTCGTTATTACTATCTCAGTTGCTGAGAGGAGAAAACGACTCGAAGCAATCGCATGGAATTCAGCCTACACCAAACCAGCAAAAACCGGAAACGAGCTTCGAGAAAATGCCTTTCACTATGCAATTCATGCGCTGGGCTACCCTGCTGGCAGAGTCGCTTAAACTTTTTCCAGATAGCCTGAGTATCAGGCCTTCCTACGGCGCTTCCATTTTTCCCCTTTTCCCCAGAAATTAAACGCCTGATACTCAGGCTATTTTCTAGACAAGTCTTGGGAGATCCTAGGAAGACTCTGTTCTCCGGTTCAGTCATTAAGGGTCGCCAGCCTGCAGAACAGGCTCGGTGTTTTTTTTTCCTTTCTTTTTCTAGCCTGAAATTCATCCGATTGCTTCGAGTCGTTTTCTCCTCTCAACAACGACGTTACTGAGGTAGTAATAACGACTCGAAGTAATCGGATGAAATTCAGGCTATTCTTTTTCGTCTTTCGGGCGAACTTAGTACGAAGCGGGCGTGTCTCATACTCCGCTTTCACTTCGCGCTTGGCCTCGCTCACCTGACAGTACAAAAACGCCGCCGCCTGTTTTGCCACAAATACTGAAATTTCATGTAGTCCCTATAACGTCCACACTTTGTTGAATTTCCTCCTCCTGGTTTGCACAATCACATTTAACATTGACTCATTCACACGTACTCTATGCGCACTGAAGCATTTTTCTGACCGAGAAAATCAAAAAGGCTCTTCAGTTTGTTAATGGACAACTTTTATTATACCAAAAGGCCGCGACACTTAACAAACGACCAGGTAAAATACAGGTAATAAGATAAAAATCATCCCTATGTCCCTAGATTATAAGCCCGCCCATGATACGCACTTTCCTTATTCAGGACAAACGAAGAAGCGAAATGCATTTTAGATTTTTACTACAAGCGGTCGCCCAGTCTGATCTGCTACACAGCCGTTTTTAGTGTCGTCATGCAAGGAGCGTTACGTGACGACACCATAAACGGGTGTGTAACATACCAGGGCGAGGGGTCGCACTGAGTTTTGCGACATTTACTAATTGTAGGACGACATAGATAAATTGCAGTAAAACAGTTCAAACTTAACAACCAACCAGTTAAAATCTAAAATAACTTTTAAAGTGTCCAAAAAGGTCCTTCGACCTCGACAGGGGTTCAAGTAGCCTGTTCCAGGCTCTCAGATAGTGGAGAAGACGCGAAATTGAAAGGTACGAGAAAAGTTGGCGGGCGGGAAAACAGTTTCCTCCCGTCTTTTTTTTCTTATTTTTTTTTTTCAATATTCGCGCTTTCTCAATTCAGCGGACTTGACTATATATCTCGGAGCCTGGAAATAGGAACGAATCTAGTGACCAGGCTTTCAGAACGATGCGTTCAAAGTTATTGTAGCCTAAAACTCCCATTCCCTTCGTTTCAAACGCTTGCTACGAAGGTTTAAGTTATTGTGAAAGCCGTGTTTAATGAAGATGACACATATGTCACACGCAGCTAATGGGAGGGATCACCAGTTTTGTTAAGCTTCTCTGATACTTTCCACTTCAGTTGTACGGATATCGCGGTAAACTGCTTCACGTCTTGATGCATGGAAATGAAACTAACAATCAAATAATTTACTGATACCTGTTTTGCAAAATTTGGACGGATCACTGGTGTTTACCGTTCAAAAACAAAGTAAAAAAAATCATATTTATCTTATAGAATCTAAATCATACTCTAAAATACAAAGAAAATTGTTTTAAAAAGTCATATCAATATATTCTTGTACACGTGAGGCTTACATTAAGACTGGGCAAAACAAGGGGTAATTTTGCAAGGACATAATTTATTCTAGGATAGCCCCCAACAACAGGCGTCATTGGACGCACTCGCGCGGGTTAAGTGGCGCGAAGCGCGGAGTAATTCTAGGGATGTGACGTAGGGGTTATATTCTCCTTACAGGGAATTTGAATTTGTCTTCACTACATGTCGCACGAAGTTCTAATTGATCAACATCATGGGGCATGTCGCGGAGACTTGTAAGATTGTAGAGTACTTCCCTGTAAAGAAATCAATAGTTTATCCAACCAGAGACAAGGACCAAAGCTCCATGCGTTGTAGCACTGGGACGAACAGCAACAACAACTTTCGCCTGTGCCGGCGGACATCGTGATTTCTCCCTGGCTAAATATCCCCTATAATCGTCCCTGATCTACAATGTCGTGTGTCTGCGTGTTCAGCACGTGATTTTATCATGGTTACACGTTGCTACGACGTATATGTACCCCAGCGAAAAAACCCGGTACTTGTCACCGTCAAACTAGTTACGAAGAGGGATCATACCCGAATAATTCATGTATTGCCTCCACGAGAGGCAGGCGCAACAGCATTATAAATGGCAACTTTAAGATTACGATTTTTTAAAAGAACTTTCATCCTCAAATTAGCTCAGATTCCTTGGCCCTTGATCTGAAACAAATGAAAAATGAATCGTTTTAGTCACATCTGAACCTCGATTGTCCGCACGCAAAATAAAAGGGACAGAGCGCGCTCGTATTATTAAAAGTAGATTTGCGCAATGAGGGGTTTGAAGGTATGATTATTTCTTTCACTCATCCCAATAGAGGCCAAAAAATTTCCAAATCTCATCCTATATCGTTACATATATCTTTACATCTAACACAACTATTACTCGGCACAAAATCACTTTCATTGCATTACTTAAAAAACCCTGTTTTTCGGCGATATGAACAACATGAACGTATATCTCATTCGGGCTTGCCAATTATTGATGGCGAAGATGCAGTTAATTCACAAACCAACGGTGTGATGTTTTGCGAAGTGCGAGGCATGACCAAGTTTATTTTCTTAACATAGTAACATAACAAATTCGGGAGAAATGTCAGTACTAAAAATCAAACACTTCTTTAGTTTTTGTAAAATACTTACTACTCTGCTACGGCCACGGGGGCTGGCGTAGCCTCTGTGAAGGGAAAAACAAAGAAACAAACGAAGAAAAAATATTAGTCAAATATCACTGGTCGTAATTAACAGAACTCAGACAAGCAATACTTGGCACGGTTTTCATTAGGGTGGGATACGCAAAAACCAAGAAATTACTCTAGCCAATGAGAGCGAGAAGACAAGACAAAAAACCAATAAGAATTCAGAGGAAACGATTGTAGAAGGCAAAGGGTAATATTTAAAGCCAATCACAGAGCGTGATAACACAAAAACAAACAATGACACAAAAAAGTTGAAACACTCTAAGATTGACAAGTGTTTTAGTGATACATAATAATATTGAAGGGCGTTTTAAGAACTACATTTTGCTGTGTTCTTATATCCACTGGCGAGCGAGCGCGTTTAAAAATCACCACCCAAGACGAAGATGACACGCGTCTTACCTCTCCTCGCGCGCCGCGACTTTCACGCGCGCTAGGGAATTTCGCTCGCTTCGCAACTATCCCTGAGGAAATGAGACACTACCCGCAGCCTAATAGAACACAACAGTGAAGTCTACCTGTCTGCTCAACAACAGGTTTCTCTTCATCTTTCTTTTCTTCTCCGTTCTCTTCCTCTACTCTAGGTATTGTCTTCAATGGTTCTGTTCTGCGGTTACCTAAGTTTTGAACATGAACAAGAACAAGTGAGCAACCGAGAGATATTCAAGCTCGCTGGGACTACCAATTATGAAACTAAAATTTTTCTAGTTTTGTTCTGGAGACTTACCTTCAAGAACTTTCGACGAAAATCGCTCGCTTGACACTCGTTTAAAGTCTGGCTGAGCCCGGTTCACCTCCTTGCTGTGACGGGCCTGGTGTTGAGTTCGCCCACTGAAGAAAAATAAAACACACACACACACACACACAAAAAAAGGCTTAGCTTAGCTGAGCTTAAATCACAGCCAATGTCGACAAACCATCAGTGAAAACTGGTCAACGAAACGACTTATAACACGTTAGCGAAACGAATTAAAACACGTTAGCGAAACGACTTAAAACACGTAAGCGAAACAATCCAAGACTTCAGCGAACAGGGGGCCGGCGAAACGCCTCGTTGGCGAAACGGCCAGTCACCAATCAATTAACCGGGTATTAACATGGCTGTGTAACAGCTTTTTAGGGTTCTTAGGACCCTCTCTCCAAGACTAACTTAAGTTAGGGCCCAACACTGCATGTTGTACATAAGTATAAAAATTTCCTATATCAAAAGACGATTTTTTAACGTCAGAAAAAAAAGACACTACTAGCTCAGTCATCGATTTGTGTTTTGTTTTGTTTCGGGAAAGTTGGACATAAGAATTATTATTTCAAACTCAAAAAATACATTTCTACTGGAACAGCAAGAATTTTAAGAAACGTTTTAGAGTTATAGAGGAAGGACGTGAACTCGAAGGGGCCTTTTAGTGGTCATGGGTTATGACTCGCTCCCTTAGCAAATAAATCGGTATGAGATCAGCCCGCACACAAAGCAAGAAATAATAATAATAATCACAACAACAACAACAATATTTTTTTTTTCGAACCTGTATCTAAACTTGGAGCCAAGTTTGATGAATCCAACATCTTTGGGTGGCAGATCAGCCTGTGAAAGTCTGAAGAATGAATGGTGTTCCACTCCAACTTTCCAGAGTCTTTTTGTTGCCCTTAAGCTTGCGAGTTTAAAACTTAGTACTGTCCCTCCGTAATAATCGTTCTGTGGAATTAGCGTCAGATACAAGTTGTACATATACTATCAAATGTCACCATGATAAAGGGTAAAGTGAATAGAGGGCCCTTTGGCTACGTCAGTAACTCGAAAAAACGTTGAAATGACACTGAAAAATACCCACACTAAAACACAATATCTAACCACCAATGGTTTCAGAAACAGCAAGAAACAGCAAAAAACATCATTTCACTTTAATACAAAACTGAGGCCTACGATGCGCTTATTTTACATGGATCTCTCCATCACTGCTCAACTCATTACTTTAGAGCTACTTAAACGTACATGTACACAGAAAGTTAAAACAAGATTTTCAGGTCACACATGGAAATTGAACTCTGGACTTGCTGCAAAGGAGGCCACATACTCAAAAACTGCACCAATCCTTGCATCTAAAAGCCTTAATAATAAGTGAAAAGCACATGACTGATGATTTTGACAAATTTGTGAAGGAAATGTGAGGAGGGCAGTGGTGTAAAACAGAGGGGCGTGGGTTCAACAATAATTTTTTTATTATTTTCTTGTTACAAAATGAGTAGGACTCGTGGGGATTAACAGTTTCTCTCTCCAAGGAATTCACCATTACGACTAAGTGTCTGTCCCAAAGAAGTGTACAACTTAAACAAAATAAGAAAAATATAAATAAATAAACTAAAATGACTGACGATAAGCAGGGATTAACTCAAAGCCCATCTGGGATCATTATGTACATTTCTGGGTAACTGCCCACCTACCCCTCCCCTAAGCCAACATTTTGACCTAAGTGAGAAGCAAGTGTTAATATTGGCTTAGGGGAGGGGTAGGTAGGTAGTTTCCCAGAAACGTATAATCATCCCATATTTGGCCATTTTTATGAGGTTTCCGTTACTGCGAGAGTTGGCGCTGCTGGGAAGGGGATGAGAACAACTTATCTTGTTGTAAATAAGAGCTCTAACCTCACTTGCTGGCCTGATTGACAATGTAAACTTCTTCTTTTTAAAGGCGATTTTCACTATTTTGGGCCTGTTGAAGAAAATAAACACCGCAGTTGAGTGAACAAAACAGTTGGAACATCACGTGATGCATAATTAATTAACTGACAGGTCAAAATCAAATTCAGGTTAAAATTGTTTTACCAAGGTTGATTCTCAATTTCCTTTGTCTCATAGCCCAGATTATTCACGAATTAGGGCTAGGAGACAAAGAAAATTGAGATTAAATTTTTTTCAAACCTAAATTTAATATTGACCTGTAACACATAATTATAGTGATAGCAGGCTTGTAAGTTTAATTTGCTACATATAATCTATGCAAATAATAGCTTAGCACTGAATGCTGCATGCTTTTCTTGTTTCCAGAGTGTATGACTAGTATTTTTAGCACACTAAACAGCAAAAAAAAAAAACAACAACAACAACAACAACAACAACTGAGGAGGTTTGTATCTCGTACTGGAATAATATTTTTCGTACTTTGATTAACTACGCCTTTCAATAACATGCAGACTGAAATAAAAGTCAAAAATTTAACCAGCAGTTGCGTTTTTTGCTACCACCAACCATTATTGCCCCAAAACAAAATAAAATGGATCAAAATTTACCAATTACAACCAACAGATGTGAACCCACTGAAGAAACCTATGTTTCCTAAGAAGTCCGTTAGGGCGATTTACAGAAGCGAAAAACATGCACATTAGTTACATTTTTTACTTAACAGCTTACATGTTATTGAAAAGTGAAGTAACATACCATACAAACTTGTTGATCAATCGACTGTTGTGAAAGATATGAATTCCCCAAGCTGACACTCCTATGATTACATTCTGTCCTTCTGCATCCTAAAAAACAAACAATAAAGTCAAAATGAGAGTCAAATAAAACAGTGAGTTTCCTCCTTGCAACAGGAATATGTGGATAACCCAAAGAGTGCTTTGGTCAGTTTTGTGTACCAGTAACCAGAAATAAATACCGCAACTGGCTACATGGACTTTTCAAAGCTTTAAAACAGAACCACCTTGTTTGTCAAATGTATCAACAACATTCATGACTGTATCAAGGAGGTAATTCTCACACGAAAAAAAAAAAAGGCTGATAAGTTTTTTACTTCACCCTTTAAGTCCCAATGGTGACCTGCATCAATTCTCTCCCAACAATATTCACACCTTGTCAAGAGATAAGGTTATGAGAATTTATGAAATGATTGCTAAAGAAAAAATGCTTTGATCTGCTATCAAATTCTCTCAACTAATTCTGTTAGGAAATGTATGGAGATCAGTTTGGAGAATTTGTATGTGGATATTGGGGCTTAAAGGGTTAAGTCAAAAAAGGGGGCGTACTTTCATCTACACATAATAAAATGGTGGGGTCTCCACCATACATCTTGTGATGGTGGTTTCTATTATGACAGCTGCTACTCATTATATTTTTTAGCTTCGGAGAAGCCAAAGGTATCAAAATAAGACTGTACACACCACAGCTGTATGCAGGTCAACTCCATAAAGTGGAAGCTTCCTTGCATTGTCCAAATACTGCAGCTCCGCATCCTCAGGTGTCATTCCCCTGTGGAAATGGTGAACAAAAATGAAAAAAAAAATTTACTTTATGTTTTAGCAAGACCATACTAATTGAGGACACTAATACCGTAAAATTCCGAAAATAAGCCCCTCCATGTATAAGCCCCTCCAAATAATTATAAGCCACTCTAAATCGTAACGCAAAAAACCCACCGTTAAATCGCCCCTGCGAATATAAGACCCACAGGGAGCTTGTACATGGAATTTGCTCTTGAATACAAAGTAAAACAAAGCAAAAATGGTAAATTTCCTTCCCACTACAAGCTAGCCCAATCAATTTTGAAATGCAAATTTCCCTCCGTACTAAGCCCCTCCGAACATAAGCCCCTCAAAAAAAAAAGCCCCTCAAAAAGGGCCTTTGAAAAATATAAGCTCCAGGGCTTATTTTTGGAATTTTACCCTAACAGTATTTTAACATCCACTACTGGATCAGAGACAAGGCATTTTTAGGCCGTCATCTAAGCCATGTCAAGATCTTATCCCCCATTTGAAGGGCAAAGGCAGTACATTCATTTCTCAGTTATTTTAAGGTCCTCAGTATCAGTCAGGCCCTGAGAATTGAACCCTGTGATATCAGGCTCTGTAGTCAAGCGCTGTATCGACAAAACTCATATTTCTATTAGTGGTGTAATGATTAATCAAATTCTTGATTAATCACGATTATGAGCGTTTGGTTCGATTCACGATTCTTTGCTTCCACATTTTGATTTTGGTTCGATTTTTGCACACCTTTTCCAGGGTGCCCTCAGTGAGTTATTATATTGTAAAATCGGAATCCAGAACGTTTTAAAATGTGCGTTTATGATTGACTAGACTTTCTCAAAGTCGTTTGCATGGTTTTCTGGTCTGGTGTGGTAGGCGCGCTACGCGCTCAAAAGCTCAACTTGTGAGCAAGTCTAATGATTGACGAGCAAAGATGATAGCATTTCATGCGCCATTTTGTGTTGCCTGGTAAAAATGCTGTCCTTCAACCGCCCCTTGAGAATTTCCAAATAAGGCAAACTATGTGCGACATGCTCTTTGTCAGGATCTCAACCATGGCGACGAACCAAGCGACTGTGAATCCTCCTGTCCCTGCTACTATTCTCAAATTGAGGATTTAGGGTTGCATGTTGTTTACATTACCCGTTATGTTATAAGAATTAAGAAACATTCACACAATTGAATCAAAATCGGAAGGTACTAATCGAAATTGAATCGAGCCGCAAGGAATATGAATCGTTACACCCCTAATTTCTATACCGATTAGAGTAAGCAGTAGCTGCACATTATTAACCTACACACTGTAGGTGCTAATTTACCTGTGTTTTTTGTGAAACTCGTGTACCTTCTGAAGCATCTCATTAGGCTGGAAAAAAAACAAAAAAACAAAACATCAATAACCACATTTCAAAGCAGCAGTGTACAGTAAGTACCAAAGCTACAGTACCGCTCAAAATAAAGTTACCACCCTCTCGCGAGATGCGAATCACGTCGCGTGCTACACGATTCTTGTAGCACAGGACGCAATTTTCCTAGCGCGTGACCACCAAAAAACTGTAAGTACATTAATTTTGTGTCATGGCCACAATTCTTCAGCGATTTCAAGAATCGATGGTAAAGCTTTACTGTGACTAACACGCGAACACAGTCTTACCTCTGCGACGCGTAGACTGTTGCGTATTAAAATTCGCTTTCTGGTTCGATGATTCTCGCACTATGCGATTCTCGTCACACAGGAAACGAGATGCGACTGGTAACTTACTTTTGAGCGGTACTGTACAGTCAGAGTAAAAGCCACAGAGCAGCATTGTTTATAGTTTTTAACTGCACTTGGCTGTGTACAATCTAATGCTCTGCATTAAGCAAATCATTGTTAAGTAATTATTACTGTCTTGTTTGCTCATCAGTACATTAAGTAACCCATAGAAGGCATCACAGTATAAACAATTAAACTTTAAAAATTAAAGAGCTCAATAACTCAAGAAAATTGTGCACTTTACAGGTTTTTGGAAGCAACATCAAAGAAAATAGCAGCCATCAAAGACTGCAAAATTGCCAGGTGGTGAAAAACGTTAATAATTGAGTTTTTAGAAACGAAAATTTCTCTGAAATTGTTCAGTACTTTAGGCTCAAAGTTCAGAGATAATGTAACATGGTTATGCTCTATCATTATTCAGGGATGTTGTGTTATTAAATTATATATGTACATGTAGCAAAGGCCATGTAAATAGGGCAAGGAATGTTTACAGAAGAAAGATTTGTCTATAGGACCCCAGTGTGCTGAACCACACTGTAATGTTTGTAACCTCACATCTACACAATAATTAACTTTACTACAGATTATTACACATACATTACAGTAGAGGAAGGCTCAGCAACTACACTATACATAATATATAATATTAATTAATATTTACTGATCGCATTAATCCTGTTACTCTAACATTGTATGTACTTGGGTTAATAAAATATTTAACATACCGAGAAAAGAACTTAACAATCTACCTGTTTGGGACAGAACTTAAAGTCTGAGAGATAATGTGCATCTTCTCCGTGATCTTCGGGTTCATAGTCTCCCATTTCAGCTATCGTTTAGGGTGGGCAAAAGAAGAAGAAAACAAAAATGTGTTGAAATGCTGGTTTTAACTAGCGACAATGCAAAAAGTGAACTTGCTAGAACACAAAGCTTCCTGTGTTTTAAATGAATTTTAGCATGAACAGCATGGGAGTAAATGACATTGGTAAATCTACCTTGTACAACAAATGAGCCAAGCAGAGCATGGATTGGAACAGAACACTGCAACCTGAGAATGCAAAACATAAAATATCCAGTTAATTAATTAATTAATCAATTATTTATTTTATTATTTTATTAATTATTTTGTGTAGAATAATAATTATTCCAGGGCCTGGAATACCACAGAAATTTAAGGACTTTTCAAGGAAAAATGGAATTCAAGGACTTTTCAAGACTGAGCCAACCCTGATATATCACAAATTTTGTTAAAGTTATGATTAATTGATACCTTAGAACAGAATTTCATGTCGTCCAATTCGGTCTGTAATCATACTTGTCATTAAACAAATCAGACTCCCACTATGCTGTCATCCAATTTTATAATCACTCATATGATAACAGACCGAATTGGAATCCACTCAGCCCTGTTGCCATTACGAACACAGCTTATGTGTACTTTTATTTTATTCAATACGGTACTGGTTTTCTCACCTTCCCTTGAGAAGATCTTCCCTCAACTGCAATACCATTAGGTACCTAAAGAATGCAAGTTAATAGAAACATTATTGAAGACAATTTTTTTGGCCATTTTAGCAAATACATGTAATCCATTGCTTAAAAATTACCTATTGACAGTAGATGTCCAAATTATATTACTTTAATTAGCAATTTTGAAAATAAGCCACAGAGCAAGATAGTCTCAAGCTGAAAGTGTACTGTAAATAATTTTATTGTACATACTAGCAGAAAAAAACTGGTCAACTGCACTACATAAAGGTGTACACATAAACTAATGCTCCTTAATTATCAGCACTCTATAGGCAATACAATATATACTTGAGACATGCTACTACCTACGCCAGCAGTGGCCACTGGTACAGCAAGTACAAAAATGTGTAATGTTATTTCTACATTCAATTGCTTCATGCTAAGTAACCCAGTGCAAGTATTGTGGAGCAGATCCTACCACAGGTTTCAATAAGCACCGACGACCGACGAAACACGTCGGCTACATTGCTCATAGAAGTCGGCTACTTTTTCCTCCGAAGAAGAAGCAACTAGTTTGAATAATGTTAAGGACAAAAATATACTTTGTTCATGCGGAAATGTACGTAACTTAGTATAGTTATTATTTGTTCATTGCTTGCAGGAGCAAGAGCCAAGCCATTATGGCTCTTGGCAGGAGTTAATTGTGTGGCTAAGAAATCAAAAGTTGACTAAAGCCCAAAAATTTAATCTCCTTGAATGGAAACCTTCCGCTTTTATACTCACTTTAGTCCCTTAAATGCTGGAAATCACTTATTAGGGCTTTGCAATTTAAAATTTTCTGAGGGAGCATGCCCCCAGACACCCCTTGAAAACGTGGACTGTTGATACAGTCGGTTATTCTATTCAAATCTGCTGGCTACTTCAATTTTTATTGAAACCCCTGCCTACTACCACACAACAAAAATTAATATATAAACAATTTACTGCAATTTTTCAAGAATGTTGATTTTCCCATGAGAACAACAAACACCAAAACCTACATTAAATTTGAACTACTTATAGCAGTTCTGCTTGAGCTTGTGCTTCTAAAGCAGTGATTTTGTTACCCCTGTGTCCTGCATCCCTGACGCATAAAAATTCTCAAGGAAGCAGAAAAATTGACGGCTTGCGTTCTATGGGATACAACTATTGATGGATCTAAAAATTGTTTTCGAAGAATGCGCTGTTTGCATGATTTGAAATATGTGTTGAAAGCTAGCTACCTTCAAACAAAAGAGTAATTTTGACCACTTAAACAACAGGTCAAGAATAATTTCTGAACGAATAGACAGCAATATTGCCGAAGCAATTTTTTTTGTTAAAAGCAGCCACTCTTACTTTATCTTTGCCATATATGGAAAGCACGTGGCTAAACCAAGATGGCCGACAGTGGCTGGTAATACAGCACAGCTTTCTTCTAACTGATTGTATAAAGCCTTAGGGCTCTAGTATTACTTTCCCGAACATTATTTTTAGATGCAAGAGATCAACATTTTAGAAAAGTGAGAATTTTTCTAATTCCTCTCCCATCTACAAATTTTAGGTTTCCTTTTCACTATGAAAAATAGCCTAACCTGGGGAGTAAAATGTGAAAATTTAAACTTCAGAAAATCGTGGGGAAATTATTAGATAAGCTTTGAATATTGTACATGAATGGAACAGTCATCTGGAAATTTTTAGCCGTCCTCAACTAAAAGAAAATTCTAGAATTCTAAAATTACTTGCTTCTCTCAACAGATATTTTACAGAAAACAGCCGTTGCGTGCCCCTGATGTATTACAGAGATAAGTGCTTTGCTATTGAAAGTAGACTACAGATTAAGCCTGATTGTCTGGTTTTATGAGAGTTCTGGCATCTTCTAATATAGTTAGGACTCACTGGCTTTTGAACTGGGGCTCATGATTTTTCATGACACAACAATTTTATAACAGAGTGAAATTGACCAAAATGTTAATATTATTTTTTTTAGTGTCCATTCTTCTCTTTTTTTTTTTGTTGTTGTTGTTGTTTTTCCAATTGACATTAATATGCAATGTACGAAAATACAGGACATATGTACACTAATTTTAAAGTTGATAATTATTGTTAATTAAGTAATTGTTTTGTCTCGGTAATAAAGCTATATTTGTACCTTGTGATATCTTCAACAAGTGCTGTTGGGTTTGGAGGGTAAAACTTGACAGCAAAGTAGAAATGATAAGGCTCTGTTGAGAAAGAAAGGATTTGTTGTGATCTACAGCGTTGTACATGTACAGGTATATCACTGGTGTGAACATGTTTTGAACAAAATTGAATTTTGAATTAGTTCATCAACTACATGTACATGTATGTGAGGATGCTGAATGCCCCAGGCTGACTCTTGGTAATTCGAGAAAACCTCCAGCAATCCCATATTATATAGCATTCCTAAGACCAGCAGACCTTAAAGGAGAAGTTCATTTCAAAATGGCACATTTTTTTCTCCTCACCAACAAAATCATACAAAGGTAAGTTACTCACCGAAATTTCCACTTCTAAAGAGCTTTTCAGCCCTATTAAATCCTCATCTGAAGAAGCCCGAAATTCCAGATCTGACGGCTGCCATCTCGGAGGAGTGCTAGCAGTCTGGTGACAAGTAAATGACGTCCATATGCTCAACCTGAGTTTGGCAGGAGGATTGAATCACTCAACGCTTTCTGTTTTTTTTTGTTTCAGAAGGTGTTTTTTTTTTCTGGTCTGAACGCCTCCTTGTGCAGTTCCGAAAGACATGTTGAGTGGTTTAATCTTATTCATGAATCCTCCCGCCCACCAAACTCAGGTTGAGCGCACTGACGTCACCTACTTATCACCTGGGCTGAGTTGTTCAAAGCTGGGTTAAGATAACCCAGGGTTAGTGCGAGATTTTAATTCAGATTTGAAAGCTTAAAAAGCATTTCAGCTTTAATTCTTTTTGTCTACAAGTTGATGATTGGAAACTCTAAAAATAGCACAGAAAATTATCCGAAAAAATGATTTGGAACACAAGGAAAAGAAAACCCGGTTAATTTTAACCCCGGGTTAAGCGCTAATCGGCCTTCGAACAACTCGGCCCAGGCTGCTAACAGTTCTTCATGATGGTGGCCATCAGATCTCGAATTTGAGACAAGGATTTCATAGGGTTGGAAAGGTCTTTTGAAGCTGAAATTTCAGTGAGTAACCCTCCTTTGTATTAACCTTTTTGTTGGCAAAAAGATAAAAAAAGCCATTTTGGAATGAACTTCTTCTTTAAGACCCTAGATAACTACGGCGTAGGAACGTACACCTATACGTAGGCATAACTAAAAAAGAGTCATTAAAAACAACAAGAAAAACTTGGAAAATATAATTTTGTTCACCAAAGGTCTGAGAAAACCATTATGAATGGTTTTAGAAGGACTTTTCCAAAACACATGGATCAGTCAAACTTAAGCTTAAACTTCAAGTGTTAGGCCACTTTCTTCCCATCCATCCTTAGCACTTTCTACCATGATACAATTCACCTACCATGCTTTAACTGTTTCTTGATGGGCCTAAGTGGATCTAACCAATTGTACTGTAGAAAACAATTATTCAGTTTTAGTAAGAATACCATAACACAAATAATTATTGTGCACAGTCATTTTGATCCTTTTCAATGCACATTTGGACAAACTTCGTAAAAATCAATAATGAACATTTATGTTGCACAGTATCTTCCAATTTATTTTTACAACAGTTATTCCTGCTGTTACTGTACCTGGCCATCCTTCTCATCAATGTAACGTAAACCAAAGTAATCCCTCTCAGCTAATTCAATTTTCTCACAGATCTTGTCAAACAAAACTTGCCCCTTTGCATTTTTCTACGAAAAAATGACACAATATTGACAAAATAAGAAGGTAAAAGTAAAACTTAATAGGGACTCTGATATTAAGCAATGGTGCGATTTCACAAAATGATCTCAAATGACATCCACCGCTGACATATTCCACAAGAAATCTCATCACAAATCAAAAGTGCAGTGGACAAAATAAAACACATACCGTCAAACCCTGTTAATACGGACACTGAGGGGACCATAGAAAGTGTCCGTATTAACAGGATGTCCACATTAAGAGGGTTGAATTTAGAGAAAGTGTAAGGGCTTTCTTTCCCCAGGGATAAAGCAAACTGTCTGTAATGATGAGGTGTCCGTATTAAGCGGGTGTCTGTAAAGCCGGGTTCGACTGTAACAAATTATTATGCTTATAATGTGCTTTAGAAACCTTGTGCAAAGTCTCCAAAATATCTAATTTTGTGAGTCTAACAACACTTTATACACTGCAGAAACTAAATACAGTGGCATATTCTTTAATGCATAATAATGTAACCTTCAGTAAACTTCACATTTTTTTAAACAATTCACACCTTTTCATAAGGTCTTTCTTTAAAGATTGCCACCATTAGGACTGGAGTTGGAGTGGCCTCTCAGATAGCTTGAGCTAAAGCTGTCTCTCCTTTCTCCTTGGTGTTAGGGACGTTTTGTCAGGAGAGACAGCACCTCAGCGACAGAAATTCCATACTGATGAGGTAAACCAATGTTTATTTACTTAATTAATCCAGTAGTCATAGGGTTCAATAAATTTTGGCAAAGTTTTGTGTTCTTCTGTGAACAAGCTCCAGCAGTAAAACTCACAATCTTAATCTTCAGAAGAATACTCCACAAATACTGACTGTTTTGTAATCGCATTTACATTTGACCCTTGTGGCCTTTTGTCTTTTGTATCTCATTCAAAAACAAGTAGCTCAAACAACATATCTACTAGGTCAACCAATCAGTGCTCCTGACCAGATTCTGGACAGATTTTTACACCATCAGTAAGGAATTGCTGTCGCTGAGGTGCAGATGTCCCTCCTAGAGTAACATCCCTAGTGGTGAGGAGCGAGGAGAGATGGCTGTTTTTGCAGGCTACCTATCAGAGAGGTGCCCATCCTACAGTACATATACCATCAAAGAATATGGCTCACAAAAAGGAAGGGACCAACCCTGGGTATCCATATTAGTGAAAGATGCCTATTGCATATGACTGTCATAGAGTTAACTGCAGATAATCACTAGCCACTTTGACAATTCAAAGGAAAAGTTTAAGGTGAAATGTGGACAACCAATGTTTTTGCTCAACCTAGTAGATTATAATATTATTACTATAATTACACAAAATTCATGACACACTTCCTCCTCTAAAAAGGCACAATATATATAAACTCAGTAAATATTCCTCTTATCCAACCACAAATTTAATACATGTATATTGATAAGATTTCTGTACAGCGCCATGTATATACATTTGTTATGTAAACATTTTTCAACTGCATGAATTCATATTCACTATGAAATTGCTGCATGCATAACAAATGAAAAGGGCTGCACGAAAATGTTTTGATCGTCCCTGTTAAGAATGCTTGTAATTGTCCTGTCAAGGCTTAAACAACAGCTTTCATCACAAACAGCACGAAAAAGATAAATTTCCAAACGACTGCTTCGGAAAAAGAAAGATTACTAAGCGGCTATTTTGTAAAATACAATAGGTAACCAAAATATTTATAAATACGGTTTAAAAACATTAGTTTCGTGAAACAGTTGTAAAGACCTCAGCAATATAATGACGGAAAATAATGCAAATCTACCGTAAAAGTTTCGTATTAACAAGCAATGAAAGTTTTAGATACACAGAAAATTATAAATCATTGCCACAATGGCTTCTTGAAGTGTCTTACAATGTAATTGTTTTTTTTTAATTCGTTAACCTGATTCATTTCGTCTGAGAACTTCTCGCTTAGCGAGGACTAGAGAAAACCTATAACAACCTGGAAGGACGTAAAGACACCTTCAAAATTATAAAACATCAAAAAGAAAAGAAAGGAAGTGTGTAAGTTATTAAAAATGCGCGGGTTTCCTGAGCTTGCAGAATCAAATTTTGAAATAATGAATTTCCCTTTGGAACGGACGGAACAAACACGTTGATGTCATTGACTGATCACGAGAGAAACCAAAAATTAATTGACCGAGTATTATCGATTATGGACCTTCTACTAATCTTCTAATAAACAGGGAAGGTTAGAAATTAAAACCTTTGGCTCATTAAGACCGTTTGATCCGACAGACAATAAACTACAAATTAAAACCTTAAATAAACAGAAGTTACGGGACTTGCTCAACTCGAGCGCCATTTTAAAACTCGAAAGGCCCCTTAAGAAAACATAAAAATCTTACGTCTAGGTCCACAGTGGTACTTTCATCATCTAGCAGTTGAACTTCACAGTGCAAATCGTGAGATTTTACCATGCTGGTGCAGAATGGAGAACAATAAACTTGTAGGAAGCGAATTCTACTGCTCCGCGTCTGATTGAATCCACTCCCTCGCAGCCTCGATTACAATCTGTCGATATAGCTCCGTTGAATTGTGGGTAAAATGCTTGTGTTCGGGAGAACGTCCAAGGATTCGTGGAAACTTCGGAAGGAGTCGAAAGCAAGCGGGGAATCCCCTTCGGGCCCTGCCCACGTGACGTGCTATAAAAAACAAACAGGCAGGGGCAAGTTCATTGCATAGATATTTATTATATACTTTGTATCATTTGAGTCTTTAAAAATTGGAGTAACTTGATTAGGAAGAGCAATGACAACTTGTTTTCAAGATTTAAAACAAGATGAAGGTAAAGACAATGATTTGACCGAGTCTCCGACAGAAAAGATTGGGGAGGCAAACGACGGCGGAATTGGAAAAGTAAAGCAAGCAGGAGGCGATGATGCGTACGTTTTCGACGTCGATGCACGAGTCATGCAAATTGGACGCGAAAATGACATATTTATCGGTTCAATGGACACGATTCCTGCTTCTCTTAGTGGCACAGACGACGAAGGTGAAAATGCACCGACACTGAAAGAATATTTTAAACCCGACGGCTTACTGCGTGTGGGACGAAGTCGATGCGGCTTCCCTGATAAAAACGACCACTTGGTTCAGCTCTTAGTCTGCAAGAATCAAAAAACGAGAGAAACACTCGACATTTCAGAGAATTACTACATAGCAGTGACAATTGCTCGGGATGATGGCCAACTCAGTGATCCAGTCGACTGCGACTACATGCGTATCAAAACTGAAACCAAAAATGGCTTGAAACTTTCCATGGCGGGTGTGGCCGGGTTTCTCTTCCGTTTTTATGAACCAAACACCAAGTACTTAGTCACTTTCGCTCTGAAAACCGGTCCAACGACGAAGAAGAGTAAAAAGAAACGTAAAAAACAACAAAGCTTGTGGAAAACGGTGAGCGAACTTACAATCAAACTGGAAACGGGGTCGAGACAGTGTAACTCACGGAAGCATAGAAAGGCTCTGGCAACAAGAATTGTGACCCCACAGTCTGAGTTGGAACCTGCCTCGCTTACTGAAGAAGGTATGGAGCTTTTTAGGCGATCTATGTGGGTGATGAAAGAGTTACAATCGCTTCGTGACAATGCGAGGTGGAGTGATTTCAACGATCGCGCAAATGAACTTTTGCTGTCATATTCAGATACGGACACAATTGTTGCCATTAAATTGGAGCAGAGTGTGGCGGCCTGTTACAAGAACGATTTGGAACCCGCCTTACAGCTAATCGACGAGTCCTTCAGTCTCATGTCGGGAGCCACTAACGTCCAAGTTTTAGCTGGAAGGGGCTACGGCTACCGCGCTGGTGTCAAGAGACGTCAGCGGCGCCTTGGCGAAGCTCAACAGGACGTTCAGTTGGCAGAGCAAAATATTCGCGCGTGTCACACGAGCCTTGATGCGAGCTTCATTGTTTACGAGAGAGCGAGCGTGTTGCTAGATTTCATCGGCCGCCTGTCTCAACGGAGCCCCAAACAAGTAGAAGAGGCTTTACGTAATTTGGAAAAGTGTATCGATGTGTGTTTGAGCGTTGAAAAGGAAGATGAGGAATTGTATGTGAAGAAACATCACTTTGCTTTCATAAAAATTGCAATGCTTTTGCTCGATTGCCGCACAGAGGCCGCACGTGAACGTGTTCTGAGCGAAGAGTTCATCGCAAAAGGCGAGAAGGGTCTAAAGACGCTGGAAACCAAATACTGGTCGCAGATCGCAGAAGGAGTCAAAGTTCAGTTCTACCTGGCAAGTTCAGACTTAGAATACCGAAAGGGAAACTATCAAAACGCTGAAAATTTTGCCAGTTTAGCGAAGGACAGAGCGGTACATCTGGGTTTCAACACGGAAATTTCTCACGCACAAGATCGACTCGATCACATACGTGTCGTCACGCGTGGAGCTCATAATGCCAGGCCTTCGTACGTGGCCAGTGGCGCAAGTGCTAGTGAGGGAGAGTATGGCGATATCAGCTCAGACATTAGCCTATCGGGTTCTGAGTCGGATTGGCAAAAGATTTTGAAGCCTACTGATTAGTGACCGGTCACACAATGCTCGTTTACCTGCCATTACTAAATAAACCGTCGTCAACCAAAACGATGGGGGAGATCAGTATTGGAACTCACATCTTCCAATCTCTTGGGTGAATAGCCATCATGTGCGTAGTATTTGACTCTAGTAAAAAAAAAAATCAATCATGACTGTAGAGCGAACAATCAAACAAACATTAGTGACTTAGCAATGCTGAATCAATAATTACGATAAGTTGTACTTGCTTGATTGAAATCAATGTCTTCGATTACAATCAATAATTTTCCATACAAGGAGCCTGTGATTAATTGATAAAACAGAAGCCGCGGATAAGTTTTGATAATCGAGGTCTTTTTAGGGAACAGTTATAAATTACTGTTCTGTTTTCGCGCATTAATAAAGGCCAAAAGTTTTGGGACTTTTCCAGTGAGATTGGTAACTAAAGACCTCCCCCTCCCAGCCCAAACAATGTTGAATTGACCACAATGGAAGTAAATGAGTCCTTTTTGGGCGCATCATTGCTGAGAGGAGTAGGGAGGGCGGGAGCCTGAAGGGACGAATCAAAGCCATATGCCATAGATATTCCTATCGATTATTTTGGCTAATCAGTTGACAGCTGTTGAGTAGAGTATTCGATCGAACTAGCCTGAATCAATGTCGATGGCGTTCTTACTGAACGAATAAATAATGAGTAAGACATTGGTCAAAGGGACGCGACATTTTTAGTATTCACAACTGATCATGAAACAGGGTTTAAAATAACAATAAACAAACAAATAACATACTGTAAAAATTCAGTCAGAGGTAACTTCTAAGACATTCTAGGTATATATATAGGTCTTGACAAGTCATGTATCAAATATGACCCTTAGGCCCGTTTCAAACGTTGCGTTACTGCCGTGCATGTCGAGTGCGTGGCTGGCTCGAATGTCACTCATAACCATTCAGTCGAATAAAACAGATTTTGTCAAAAACAAATCGACTTTAAGTACGATGTTCTGCTACTGCCGTGCTTAAGACGAATCCGTTAATTCGGTCTAATGACCTCTCGAGTTCGGTCAGAAGAGAAACCAATACTGGGCGGATGGAAGGCGCCTTCCATTTGCTTGAAACGAATCTGAAAAAAAATGCAAATGAGCGAGAAAAATAGATTTTCCATCATTACATTAGCATGAAATTCAGCACATGTGATGGCAGCGAAAACGTTACCTAAAACATAGTTTGCCGCTGATTCAAACCTCATTCTCGCTTAAATTGTCAAATGTTGGTGAATTTTCCTAGAGTAGAATTCGTAAGTATCGTATCCTGAAGCTCAGAAAAAGAAAATAGAAATCTTCGGACGGTCTCGTGTTTACGTTCTCCATAAAACATAAAAGCAGAAGTCGAAAGACCCATTCACACCAAAGCTTAAACAGGGTTTATAGGCCCGTTTGCAAGTATCGCGTATCAAACGTTAAAAAATTAAATATAAATATTTAGTAGTTTATTTAAGGGATCACAAAAAGATGTACTTATACTCCAGCCATCTAATAGCCTTTGGACTGAAATTTCGCGACAGATGATGGTCTGGATGTGGTCCTTTTTCATTTTGACTTCGCGAGCGTGCGGGGAATCCCCGAACAGTGACGTCATTTAAGGGTTAAAGTCTCTGCCAAAAACATAAACAGTGCTCTGCCTAAGACTAACATATGTTAGCGCCAGCAAGTTCGTATGCTATTGGAAACGAGTCGGGGCTTCTAAGTCGTCTAAAACAAATTATTGTCTTTCAACTGAAAGAAGGAAACGAAAACAAGCGAAATAGAAGGTTTGTATAGGTGTTTGAAACGGACAGACTAACTATTGCGTAGTAAGAAATGTCTCTTCGACAAGGTGGACGGAGGGCTTTGGTTTGTGAGTCCCTCTCAAAAAGTAAAATAAGAGGACATGTAGTGGAAGTTTTACTGCCCAAATGCAAGAAGAAAAATGACAAAGAACTCTTACTGCTGAAACATCGACAAGGACGTATTATAGTCAAAGCCCAGACTGTTTGTTTACAATTGGGAGATCATAACAATTTTCATGTTAATGTCGTTGACCTCGCAATGCCCGATGATATTTCCGACCTGCTCACGAAAGTATCCGACGACGACGAATTGGTTATTCGTGTCTTACCGAGAAATGGTGAACCTGAAGAATTTATCTTGAAAGGAGATGCAAGCGTTACTTTTCCATCGATTAACATTTGTGCCGACTTTTTCAGGATTATTCCACCGTCGGATGAAAATCCTTCCATAGACTCTTCCTTAGGGATTACAGTTGATTCTCAAATCCACACCAGCGATGCTCAGATCGGAGACTGGAATAAAGCTGTTATTAACTCCCGAGAGGGGTTTTGCGATGTGTTTGACAGTACTCGGCCAATCCTTCGTGTACTCTGGCCGCCTCCGAAGTTTGTTTCAGTTTCTCTTAATACAAACGATTTTCCAAACTTCGAGAGAGATCATTGGGTAGTGCTTGAAATTTGCAAGAATCGCTTTGATGGCCGAGCTTTTGAATACTGCTTTGAGGATAAAATAAAGAGGCAACAGGGAATAATCTTTTGTAAAAGCTCATGTGGCTTATCCTTGGCCGGATCGAAGAAAATGAAAGGTTTCTACGATGTTGACGTGACGGTAACAGAAAGAAGTCAAAATGAGAAAATCGACGTCAAAGAAGGAGTGATGTTCAAACGCGATACTAGTTTCGAAAATCTTCGAGGTTTAGTTGGGTTTTGGTTCCGTTTCCACACCGCCAATAAAAGATACATCATTACTTTTTCATTGTGGGAGAAAGAATCTAGAAGTCAGCAAAGTGGGATCCTTCTGGATGAGGTACATCTAGATATTGCTGTCGAAACAAGCAAACGAGAGCGTCCACGGCCATCAAGAGACAGAAAACGGTTATACCCCAACAGGGAGGTCCGTGAAGGGGAATCAGTTTCGGATGAAATTCACAGTAAACCTACGTCACTTCCGGAGGGAGGTAATGAAGCAATTCAAGGAAGCGAACAGTTTTCACCGAAAGATAACGGAAATCAACCATGCTTGTCCATTTCGGACGAAACAATATTTTCCGGAGAGAAGCTTCCGAGATGTAATCACGTAACGGCTGTAAAACATAAACAAACATCACCTAAAAGGAAACGACACAGAAAACCTTCATGGCCCGCCAAGGAGATCCCTGAAGAGACATCACTTCCGGGTGAAATTCATAGTAAGCCCTCGTCACTTCCGGAGGGGGGTAACGAACTCGAAGCTGTCGAAGCAAGCGAACAGTTTTCACCGAACAAAAACGAAAAGCAACCGTGTCTGCCCGTTTCGGAAGAAACGAAATCAGTTTCCGGGGAGGAGCTTCAGGGAAATAATCACATGACGACTGCAAAACACAAACAAAAACGTGCACCACCTAAAAGGAAAAGTCAACGAAGTCATTTACTTAAAAGGGATTATTGCAATGGTGAAGCGCGGTTATTAGGTCAGGCTTCCCAATTTATGTCAAAAGAAATACCACTTCCGGCGGAAGTTGACGGTTCGGTCTATGAGCAGAGCCTGAGAATTATGGAAGTTTTGGGAGATTTACGCGATAACGGAAAATGGAAAGAATTCGATTGCGAAGCTGATCAGTTGCTTACGAATTTTTTTGACTGCAATAGCCTTCTGATTACTGTCATTCTTGAACAAGGAAAGGCTGCTTGCTTTCGAAACGACCAAACGTCTGCGGAGGATTTTATTAAGAAAGCATCGTTGAAAATTCGGCATGAATCTTGTAGCTTGGTATCCCTGTGGAAAGGTCGGGCGAATACCTATCTGGCGGAGATTTACGGAAGAGATAAGCTGGCATTTGGTAAAGCACAGCGATGCATCACGTCTGCGAAGAAGTATCTAAAGAACACATCCTACCTTTTAGACCGTGTCTGCCTTGCTTGCGAAGAGGGCAGCCTGCTTCTCCAACAGTCTCACTTATCATCCATGGCGGAAGAATCCAGGCGTTGCTTTGAGAGCTCTATCGAGTTATGCAACCTTGGCTTAGAAGAAAGCCCCAACAACCGTCTGCTTCTAAGAACGCACGACCTGGCAGTGACGAAGAAAGCTATGCTTCTTCTGCATTTTTCCAAAGATTACGGACCGGGCGGAAACTTAGTGAATGAAAAAACACTTCTTGAGGCAAGGCAATGTCTCGAGAGTCTAAAACTCGCCTCCGTTACGGAAATGACAAAGACCGCACAAGTTCAATATCATTTTGCTCGTTCGGACCAATACTTCCAGGAGCAGCGTACGGTTGATGCTATTTCGCATGCGCAAACTGCATTTGATTTGTCACGTCAGTTTGGCTTTGACACCTGTTCTGCAGCTGAAGTTCGCCTGAATTTTTTATTGAAGTTTTCCAATTCCAATTGAACCTATAGCGACGAAAAGAACTTGACAGAGTAGCAGTTATATTTATTTATTTGATATAGATATTTGGTATAGTTGTTATGGAATAGTATAAGTTTTATATATATACCTGTTTTTTTGAAAACCGGGCTACTACAAAATGTCAAAAAGAAATTATTGAATACATGAGCTTCCATTTGATAGAATCGTCTGTCTTGAAGGTAACAAAAGTGACGTTTCCCTCATTAATCTGGAAAATAAGGCATTTTAAGAAGCAATTTTTAGTGTCGGTGTCACCGATTGCAAAGCCAATTCCCCAGTTCACCCCATTTTTAATTGAAGCTGGTCTCCCCAAAACAATCTAAGCCAACACTGCTCAACAAAACCAAGTCCTAAAACCAGCAGTTCAACTGCTTGCTGACTAGCAACATTATCAACAGAGTGGGGCATTGCTTGCATGCAAACAGCACAAACAAATTAAGTGCATAAGAGTGCAAAAACACATCAAACTTTACAACAACCCCACTCCCCTGGAATTTAACCAGGCTACCCCAAATGCATACCAGACGATAGCCCCGTGTCTGTGCAACAACATGGCACCCATCCAGACACAACCCCTCCTTAATTTGAGGGAGACATTGAGCTTTGAAAGATAGGGGTAGCCCCGGTACAAAAACTCAGCAAATCTGCACTCTAGCACAAAGCATAGTCTTTACAACAACCCACCCCCCTGGAATTTAACCAGGCTACCCCAAATGCATACCAGATGATAGCCCTGTGTCTGTGCAACAACATGACACCCAGCCAGACACAACCCCCGCTTAATTTGAGGGAGACATTGAGCTTTGAAAGACAGGGGTAAGCCCCGGTACAAAAACTCAGCAAATCTTCACTCTAGCACAAAGCATAGTCTTTACAACAACCCCACCCCCCTGTAATTTAACCAGGCTACCCCAAATGCATACCAGATGATAGCCCCATGACTGTTTAACAACATGACACTTAGTTTGACGGAAGCCCTCCTCAAAAAATATTAGCTGGGCCAACGGGAGCAACAGCCCGTCTCGTAGGGACGGGCTGTTGCCCCCCTCGTGCAAATTTTCTGGAATTTGCACTGATTTCTGTCAATTCCAGGAAGTTATTTGGAGCCCATGGTTAAGAGGTAAGGGTGGTTAGTCCTGAAGAACGAGATTGTTATTTCTACACTAAAAGTATCAGGGCTTTAAGCAAATTAAGTTTTGAAAGATTGCCTGCAATGTGCTGGACTTGACTTAAGATTTCAGGCAACCCGGTTTTCAAAACTCCAGGTAGATATATATTCATAAGGTCTTATTTGATAAATGTGTGACAAATGTGAAAAAAGCACTCAAAGCTGTTCGCTGAATTAAAAGAGTAGTTTTGCACGAATTTAGGGCAGTTTGTGCGGTCAGTTTTGGTCTCTTTTTCCTGACAGAGGACATTTCATGAAATTTCAAAATTCTATGATACTCCTTAAAAGTGTTTAATACTATATTACCTAATTTGATAGAAAGGCGAAAACAAAACGCTGGGTATTTTTCCGAGATTGTCATAAAAATGATGAAAATTGAATAGTGATGATGATGCTGATGATGCTGATGATGCTGATGATGATGATAATGATGATGATGATGATAATCATTTCATTTGGCCGCTTATTATTTATTTTGGCGGCCATCCGTGACGCTATACCCGATAGCTTTTGCGCTGCCTCGAAAATCATACGGGATAGGGCTTCTGTTCACACCCAAATTAAGAACGGTTGTGGTGGCGCGATTTCTGTGACGGAGCAAAGCTGACGCCCTGTGCAGCGCCGATCTCAAAAGTGGAGCATCACATATCGAATAGGTTTTGTGCCATTAACTTTGGTGCAGTGTGAGCACCTATTCGGCCCGTGGCGGAAGTAATAGGGACCTTAAGATCCGACGACGGCGACGGCAACGGGAACATCACAAAAGCAATAGGTTTAATTAGTAAAACAACAATTTTGCACGTGCATCACGCTTTTTTGTACATTTCTTTGCCGTCACTGCACGAATACGACGTGAAAATGCCTAATTTCACGACGCACAGAGGAAGTACGCAAGCGACGGCGAAATTTCCTCTCTCTTTCTGAACTTGGATATGGTTCTTAGGAATTCAACTTTAGGAGAGTTCGCCTACATTTGACAAAGTTGGTGACTTGGACTAATCGTGATGAAGACTGAAAGAACGTGAATTCACTTTTTCAGCGACGCTTTCTCTGCCGTCGCCGTCCACGGATCTTAAGGTCCGTAATAAGTAGGAGCGAGGCCTAGAACCAACTGAGACGGAAAGTAAATATTCAGGAGTGAGGACTGGAATTAAGTGCACCAAAGCCTCTCGGCCTTCCGCCAACCGAGCCGGCACGATGTTGAATGTGTACTGTGAACAACACCGCGGCAAAACGCACTGCGCATGAGCACAAAATTAAACATCCGGTCAGTTTTTTATTTCCGTTCTAGTTTATAAACCAATTGCGTAAGCATAACTTTGCCGTCGCGCCAAGTTTAAAAGCAACAAGGGAGAAACAGACAAAACAGGGGGCGAAAAAAACACTTCATTTGATAGCTTATATATTTTTCTAGCGTCAAACTTTTGCACCACATAGTTATCTGGTTGCACCAACGGTGAAAATGATGTTTGAAGTTTGTACGTCGCTAGCGCTCGACATGACGAATTTGTTTATATTGGCTTTCTCGTATGCTACTGGTTTGGCATAAGTTAATTTCGGGGAGATCGAAGGCGATAACTAAGAAAAGAATAGCAATACTTATGAAAGAAACCAAAAAAAAGACGTCATTATTGTCATTAACACTAGAACCAGGAAATATAAGTTTAGTCCGTTCAATCAAAGAAAACAAGAACTGGCTTTGGAGGTGTGGAAAAGCGCCCTGGGGACGAGGTTGCCCAGGCCGTTGCTGTTCATACAAATACTATACCCGAAAGCAGTTTTCGTGGTGCTACGAAAAGCTATGCGATATCTAGTGTGAGGATAGCGTGAGTGAAATTGCGTGAAAAACATGAATTGATAATACATTACCACGTTTTGTCATTTGCTCAAGGCGCTCTAGATCTCTTTGAATGTTTTTAATCATGCTAACGAGCCAAGATTGTCAATGGTCATTGTTACATACACCTCCTTGTTCCGACCACGGGCTGGGCAAATTACTTTCAAACTTTCTTGCCTTATCACCGCATGTGTGAGTTTTAAAAATACACGCTTTTAGTGAAGAGAAACAGCAGGAGAATGACCGGCTATTGAAAACCGCCCAGCCCACAAAGAAAATCAAACACGACGAACCATGCCGAAGACCGGCCGAAGCCGCAGACAGATAGAAAGAATTGCCCAACAACGAAAATTACTGATTTTGACTTCAAGTATGAACAGAGTGGCAGAGGCAAAAACCATTTAGTATCCAAAACACGGACGGACTTGCGTTTTGGTCAATATGTGGACTTCGTTTAATCCAGCCATTAATTTTCTAGAAAGGACAAAGTCCTCCATTTTGCGAAGACGACCTAAGTTTAGCTATTTCGTCGGTTTATTTGTTAACAATTCTATGACAACTGATATCCTGTCATGATTTTCTACTGAACAGCAAATACAAAATGTGCTTTCTGCTGGGTGATTGTCTATGTTTAACTGGAGCACAGATGCATGCCCAATGCTCCTGGATGCCTTCGTCACAAGTTAAAGTTTAATTGATGGTTGTTCAGAACAGGAGGGAGGGGGGGGGGGGGGTTCCAATTTCCATGGGGTTTTTGTTTTGGGGTGTTGCCGGTTCTTGGGTTTTTATTTTTAAAACACCCCCTGAAGGTGTTTAACTGGTGTATAAATTTCCAAATTAGGGAAAAGGAAGTATTTCGAGTTTACACCTTATTTTCATGAAAAAAAAAAGATAGAGTTTTGTTTGTCGTGTGTGTGTTTGTTTGTGTTAAGGGGGGAAGAGGTGCCTGACCAGTGGCGTGGGTTCTTTCGGAGAAATTTTAAATTTTATTGTGGGGTGGTGGAGGGGGGGGGGGGGGGGGGGGGGGGGGATCCAATTTGCCATGAGATTTTGGTTTTGAGGTCTGCCCGGTTCATGGATTTTGCTTTTAAAACGCCCCCTGAACGGTATTGAACGGTTGTCTAAGTTTCCATTTTAGGGAAAGTGCGCTTTTCGGTTTGTAAACATTATCACGTTTTCATGTCTAGCCGGATTTTAAAAAACTTTAACCCCAAATAGACCTCTTCCGTCAAACAGTATAAACCAACCATGGATATTCTTTCCTCTTCTGGGCCTCCTTTCTTCGTCCTCGCTCTTTCTGTTTGTCCTTTACTTTGCCTTTGCTACACTGTGATTTTCGAGCTTTTTGGGCGCAAGAAAAAACCTGTCTTTCGGCCCTTTTTTACTAAAATTTTACTGCAGATTTCGTCAGGTTCTTGTGTAAAAAAAATCGGATAGATATTTGCCTCTGTTTTTTGCTATGTAAGTCCATGATTAACAAAGCTACGGGTATCGTATTTCAGCTACAAACTTAAGATGAAACTGAAGACATCATGAGATGTTGCAAGCATGAATTTTTTTTGTAAGTTATACGGAGCTGAAGGACATCAACATCCGTGAGCTTCGGAAATCAGAGCGAAAGGTGTTTTCATCCCATCTCGATGCAAAATGATAAACACAACAAGCCGGACTGAAAAATATTTTCTATGTTTCTGCAGTGCAAGAGGCATTGTTTTTATGGGTTGTAACTAGGGGCCTACATCATTAAGTGAATATGGTCATGATGTGTGTTTGAGAGTTGAAATGCAAGATGAGGAATTGTATGTGAAGAATCATCACTTTGCTTTCATAAAAATCGCAATGCTTTTGCTCGATTGCCGCACAGAGGCCGCACGTTAACGTGTTCTGAGCGAAGAAGTTCATCGCAAAAGACGAGAAGTGTCTAAAGACACTGGAAACCAACTGGTCGCAGATCGCAGAAGGAGTCACAGTTCAGTTCTACCTGGCAAGTTCAGACTTAGAATACCGAAAGGGAAACTATCAAAACGCTGAAAATTTTGCCAGTTTAGCGAAGAACAGAACCGTACATCTGGGTTTCAACACGGAAATTTCTCACGCACAAGATCGACTGGATCACATGCGTGTCGTCACGCGTGGAACTCATAACGCCAGGCCTTCGTGCGTGGCCAGTGGCGCAAGTGCTAGTGAGGGAGAATATGGCGATATCAGCTCAGATATTAGCCTATCGGGTTCTGAATCGGATTGGCAAAAGATTTTGAAGCCTACTCCCTAATTCCCTTCCCCTTTCCTTTCGAACGCCTGCCACGCAGGCTAATAACCCGTCACCAACCTAAACGAATATTATCCAATCTCTTGCGTGAACACCCGTCTGGCGCGAAATTTTTGCAGGAGTTTATTTTTGCGGATTGCTGGTTTTCAGTGTCACGCCATCCAAAATAGATCAAAATAAAAATCAAAACTGTTCAATAGATAAAGTCCGGAATCTGGGAAATGAAAGGAGGTAAATATACAAAGACCCTCGCCAAGATTCAGGCCAGAAGAATATTCCGTATACGAGACATCCGACGAAATGTTTTACCCAAATTTATAGAGATTTGTATGGAGACGCCATGCTGGTGCCCACCTGGATGGGCACCAGCATGGGGGACGGAAACCAACAAAAACATCTGCCCCGATTTTTGGTACTAAAGCGTGAATTTATTCCTCGAAGAACTCATAAACATTAAAGTAATACTTTTTCTAATACATGAACTGTTTAGATAGCAAAATTGTCCGAAATACGTCACTTTTTTAACCTACATGACAGCCCTCTCGGCCGTCATGTAAATGCCACGTCACGCAATAGCTTAGAAACTCAAGCGTACTCTATCGCAAAACCAGGAACCCTTTTGAAGCGAAAATTTGTATGACAATTAGTTTTCAGCTGCCCTAATACTTCATTAAAGTAAAATCTCACTAGGATCGATAGTTTTGTAGTTTGAATTTTAGTGACGTCATGTGAAAACCAACAACTGGCGATTTTTTGTGTTTTGCGGAAACTAATTTTTGGGATTAGGACAGATTGGTTTTTCCAGCTGGGAATTAATTTTTGTGATTTTCAGAAAGTACCCAGTACCCAGCGTCGATAATATTTTCGTTTTTATTGAGTACGTGCAATAGAAATACACATTTTCAACAATAAACCAGTATTTCATTGTTTCTGAATGAAGGAGACAAGTTGTGATTGAACAGACACAAGAGAGCATGTAGATCATCATCTCTTGACAGACACCATTTCTTAGCACTGTATTTTTGTGTAGCGAATTTAAGTTAAAGAACATTTACTCTGGAGTAAATTTTTGCGGGAAAAATAACAAATAATTTTTTTAATGTTATTGTTGTTTTGTTTGTTTTGTTTTGTTTTTTGTTTTCTTTAATTTTTATTTGCGGGAACTTATTTTTGCGGATCGCTGGAAAAACCGCAAAAATCGCAAAAATTAGAACCCGCAAAAATTTCGACCCACACGGTAGGCATATGCATCATCTGCGTATTATTTGGCTCTAGTAAAAAAAATCAATCATGACTATAGCTACTATAGAGCGAACAATCAAACAAACATTCATGATTTAGCAGTGTAATCAACTGTGATACGTATTTTGCTTGATTGAAATCAACGTATTCGATTATCATCAGTAATTTTCCAAACCAGGAACCAGTAATTAATTGAACAAACGGTAGCCGCGGATAAGTTCTGATAATCGCGCGAGGTCTGTTTTCGCGCATTAATAAAGGCCAAAAGTTTTGGGACTTTTGTATTGAGATTGGTAACTAAAGACCCCCCTTCCAGCCCAAACAATGTCGAATTTTGAGCAAAATGGTTGTAAATGAGTCCTTTTCTGGGCGCATCATTGCTGAGAGGAGTGGGGAGGGCTGAAGCCTGAAGCCATATGCCATAGATATCTATCGATTATTTTGGCGAATCAGTTGACAGCTATTGAGTAGACTATAGCCTGAATCAATATCGATCGGTTCTTAAAATGAATAAATAATGGATAAGACATCGGTTAAAATAACAATAAAACAACGTACGTAAGAGGTAAACTGTAGAAGTCAGTCAGAGGTAACTTCTGGGGCATTTTAGGTATACGTGCGTGTCGAGTGCTTGGCTGGCTCGGATGTTCACGACTAAATGCGTGACTGATTCAATCGAGTAAAAATAGATTTTCCATCATTACAGTGATCATTAGCATGAAATTCAGCGCATGTGATGGCAGCGAAAACTCACCTAAAACATAGTTTTCCGCTGATTCAAACCTCATCTCTTCATTCTATCTCGCTTAAATTGTCAAATGTTGGTGAATTTTCCTAGAGTGGAATTCGTAAGTATCGGATCCTCAAGCTCTGAAAAAGCCGAAAATCTTCGGACGGTCTCGTGTTTATGTTCTCCATAAAACGTAAAAGCAGAAGTCGAAAGACCCATTCACACCAAAGCTTAAACATGTAAACGAGAAAAGGGTTTATACAGGGGCACCCAACGAGGATATAGTTCAAAACCACTTAACATAGCATTGTTGAACGTATTTTAGTATTTAAACGGTAGACATAGGCATATTTTTATCCCCTTAAAACTTTTCATCTGTTCGGATTTCCTAGCTGAAAGTCTAGCGATCCGAAAATTATAGGGATCAAAACTTACCTTTTCGAAAATTTCAGCCGGGAAAAGGCTCCCGAAAATTCTAGGTGGCCTTTTTTAGGGTAAAAATTCGTTAAAAATGGGTAATTATACCATTTTGTAGATGTTCGAAAATCCTAGGAGAGGCAGGCAAGCAAGAAATTTTGCAACAAATGTTCCGAAAATTAGAGATCTCAAATCGTCTTCCGAACAGATATTTTCCGAAAATTGCCGTTGGGTGCCCCTGTTTATAGGCCCGTTTGAAAGTATCGCGTATCAAACGTTAAAAAATTAAATATAAATTTTAAGTTTATTTAAGGATCACAAATTAAAAAGATGCTGATTGGAGTGACATTTCACTCTGTCATCAGTTTTCAATAACGTTGAGTACCATATTTCGGAAAAATAGGGATTTATTAAATGTTGCTTTATCATTGTGAAGGGGGCTTTGGACTGAACTTTCGAATCGTCAGTTTCGAATACGTCACGACAGATGATGGCCTGAATGGTGTCTTTTTCTTTTTCATTTTGACTTCACGAGCGTGCGGGGAACCCCCGAACAGTGACGTCATTTAAGGGCTCTCTGCTCAAGAGTGAAATATTTTAAGGCCAAACACGGCAAGTCAAGTTCGTATGCTATTGGAAACGAGTCGGGGCTTCTAAGTCGTCTAAAACAAATTATTGTCTTTCAACTGAAAGAAGGAAACGGAAACGAGCGAAATACGAGATTTGTATACGTGTTTCAAACGGACAGACCAGCTATTGCGTAGTAAGAAATAATGCTTCCACAAGGTGGACGGAGGACTTTGGTTCGTGAGTTTCTCTCAAAAAGTAAAATAAGAGGACATGTAGTGGAAGTTTTACTGCCCAAATGCAAGAAGAACAATGACAAAGAACCCTTACTGCTGAAACATCGACAAGGACATATTATCGTCAAAGCCCAGACTGTTTGTTTGCAATTGGGAGATCATAACAATTTTCATGTTAATGTCGTTGACCTCGCGATGCCCGATGATATTTCCGAACTGCTCACGAAAGTATCCGACGACGACGAATTGGTTATTCGTATCTTACCGAGATACGGTGAACCTGAAGAATTTATCTTAAAAGGAGATGCAAGCGTGATTTGTCCATCGATTAACATTTGTGCAGACTTTTTCAGGATTATTCCACCATCAGATGAAAAGCCTGATATAGACTCTTCCTTTGGGATTACGGTTGATTCTCAAATCCACACCAGCGATGCTCAGATCGGAGACTGGAATAAAGCTGTTATTAACCCCAGAGAGGGGTTTTGCGATGTGTTTGACAGTACTCGGCCAATCCTTCGTGTCCTATGGTCGCCTCCGAAGGTTGTTTCAGTTTCTCTTAATACAAACGAGTTTCCAAACTTCGAGAGAGATCATCGGGTAGTGCTTGAAATTTGCAAGAATCGCTTTGATGGCCGAGCTTTTGAATACTGCTTTGAGGATGAAATAAAGAGGCAACAGGGAATAATCTTTTGTAAGAGCTTATGTGACTCATCTTTGGCCGGATCGAAGAAAATGAAAGGTTTCTACGATATTGACGTGACGGTAACAGAAATAAGTCAAAATGAGAAAATGGAAATCAAAGAAGGAGTGATGTTCAAACGCGATGCCAGTTTCGAAAATCTTCGAGGTTTAGTTGGATTTTGGTTTCGTTTCCACGCCGCCAATAAAAGATACATCATTACTTTTTCATTGTGGGAGAAAGAAACTAGAAGTCAGCAAAGTGGGATCCTTGTGGATGAGTTGCACATTGCGGTCGAAACAAGCAAACGAGAGCGTCCACGACCATCAAGAGACAAAAAACGTTTATGCCCCAACAGGGTGGTCCGTGAAGGGGAATCAGTTTCAGATAAAATTCACAGTAAGCCTACGTCACTTCCGGAAGGAAGTCATGAAGCTGTTCAAGGAAGCGAACAGTTTTCACCGAAAGATAACAGAAATCAACCATGCTTGTCCATTTCGGAAGAAACAATATTTTCCGGAGAGAAGCTTCCGAGATGTAATGACGTAACGGCTGTAAAACGTAAACAAACATCACCTAAAAGGAAACGACACAGAAAACCTTTATGGACCGCCAAGGAGATCCCTGAAGAGACATCACTTCCGGGTGAAATTAACAGTAAGCCTACGTCACGTCTGGAAGGGAGTAACGAACGCGAAGCTGTCGAAGCAAGCGAATACTTTTCACCGAACAAAAACGAAAAGCAACCGAGTCTGCGCGTTTCGGAAGAAACAAAATCAGTTTCCGGGGAGGAGCTTCAGGGATATAATCACATGACGACTGCAAAACACAAACAAACACGTGCACCACCTAAAAGGAAAAGTCAACGAAGTCATTTACTTGAAAGGGATTATTGCAATGGTGAAGCGCGGTTACCAGGACAAGCTTCCCAATTAATGTCAAACGAAATGCCACTTCCGGCGGAAGTTGACGGTTTGGTCTATGAGCAGAGCCTGCGAATTATGGAAGTTTTGGGAGATTTACGCGACAACGGAAAATGGGAAGAATTCGATTGCGAAGCTGATCAGTTGCTTAGGAAATTTTTTGACTGCAATGACCTTCTGATTAGTGTCATTCTTGAACAAGGAAAGGCTGCCTGCTTTCGAAACGACCAAACGTCCGCCGAGTATTTTATTAGGAAAGCATCGTTGAAAATTCCGAAGGCATCTTCTACTTTGGTATCCCTGTGGACTGGTCGGGCGAATACCTATCTGGCGGAGATTTACGGAAGAGATAAGCTGGCACTTGGTAAAGCGCAGCGACGCATCGAGTCTGCGAAGAAGCATCTAAAGAACACATCCTACCTTTTAGATCGTGCCTGCCTTGCTTACGAAGAGGGCAGCCTGCTTCTCCAACAGTCTCACTTCAGGTCATCCATGGCGGAAGAATCCAGGCGTTGCTTTGATAGCTCTATCGAGTTATGCAACCTTGGCTTAGAAGAAAGCCCCAACAACCGCCTGCTTCTAAGAACTCACGACCTGGCAGTGACGAAGAAAGCCATGCTTCTAAAGATTACTGACCGGGCGGAAGCTTAGTGATGGAAGAACACTTCTTGAGGCAAGGCAGGGTCTGGAGAGTCTAAAACTCGCCTCCGTTAAGGAAATGACAAAGACTGCACAAGTTCAATACCATTTGGTTCGTTCAGACCAAAACTTCCGGGAGCAGCGTACTGTTGATGCTATTTCGCATGCGCAAACTGCATTTGATTTGTCACGTCAGTTTGGCTTTGACACCTTTCTGCTGCTGAAGTTCGCCTGAATTTTTTATTGAAGTTTCCCAATTCCAATTGAACCTATAGCGATGAAAAGAACTTGGCAGAGATCTAGTTATATTTATTTATTTGATATATTAATATATATTTGCGAAGTAAAGTTCTCATGAAATAGTATAAGTTTCGTGTTTATATTCAGAAGCTCTTATTTGAAAAATGTGTAACAAATGTGAAAAAAGCACTCAAAACTGTTTCCTGAATTAAAAGAGTAGTTTTTCTCGAATAAAGGACCGTTTTGTGCGGTCAGGTCTGGTCTCTTTTTCCTGACAGAGAACATTTCATGATATTTCAAAATTCTATGATACTTCTTTAAAATGTTTAATACTAATACTTAATTTGATAGAAAGGTAAAAACAAAACGTTAGGTATTTTCCGGGGTTGTCATTAAAAAAAATAATTGAATAGTGACGATGATGATGATGATGATGATGATGATTATAATCATGCCATTTGGCCGCTTATTATTTATTTTGGCGGCCATCCGTGACGCTATACCCGATAACTTTTGCGCTGCCTCGAAAATCATACGGGATAGGGCTTCTGTTCACACGTAAGTTAAGAACGGTTGTGGTGGCGCGATTTCTGTGACGAAGCAAAGCTGACGCCCTGTGCAGCGCCGATCTCGAAAGTGGAGCGTCACATATTGGATAGGTTTTATGCCATTAACGTTGGTGCAGTGTGAGCACCTATTCGGCCCGTGGCGGAAGTAGCGTGGCGAAAGAGCGAGGTTTGGAACCCACTAAGACGGAAGTAAATATTCAGGAGTGAGGACTGAAATTAAGTGCACCAAAGCCTCTCGGCCAACCGAGCCGGCACGATGTTGGATCTATGTTTAGATCTATGTACTGTGAACGACTTGTACCGCCCCAGGCCAGTTCATCCATATGCTATACCGGATAGCAGTTTTCGTGGCGCCACGAAAAGCTACCGTAAAATTCCGAAAATAACGGCCCCAGGGCTTTTATTTTTCAAAGGCCCTTTTTGAGGGGCTTATTTTCAGAGGGGCCTATATTCGGAGGGGCTTATGTACGGAAGGAAATTGGTTTTTGAGAGCAATTTTCCAAGTACGAGATTATATTGGTTTGGAGGGGGATTTAACGGAGGATTTGTTTGTTTTACGAGTTTGGGGGGCTTATTTTTGGAGGGGCTTATTTTCGGAATTTTACGGTATGCGGTATCTAGTGTGAGCATAGCCTGAGTGAAATTTCGTGAAAAACATGAATTGATAATACATTACCACGTTTTGTCATTTGCTCGAAGCGCTCTCTTTGAATGTTTTTAATCATGTTAACGAGCCAAGATTGTCAGTGGTCATTGTTACATACACCTCCCTGTTCCGACCACGGGCTGGGCAAATTACTTTCAAACTTTCTTGCCTTATCACCGCATGTGTGAGTTTTAAAAATACACGCTTTTAGTGACAAGAACCAGCGGGAGCATGACCGGCTATTAAAAACCGCCCAGCCCACGAAGAAAATCAAACTCCACGAACCATGCCGAAGGCAGGCGGAAGCCGCAGGCAGATAGAAAGAATTGTCGAACGAAGAAAATTACTGATTTTGACTCCAATTAAGTATGAAAAGAGTGGCAGAGGCAAAATCTCAAAGGCATTTAGACCATTTAGTATCCAAAACACGGACAGACTTGCGTTTTTTTTTAAAATTTTGGTCAATATGTGGACTTCGTTTAATCCACCCATTAATTTTCTAGAAAGAACAAAGTCCTCGATTTACGAAGACCACCTAAGTTTAGCTATTTCGTCAGTTTATTTGTTAACAATTCTATGGCAACTGCATGATATCCCGTCATGATTTTCTACTGAAAAGCAAATACAAAATGCGCTTTCTTGCTGGGTGATTGTCTATGTTTAATTGGAGCACAGTCGCATACACAATGTTCCTGGATGCCTTCGTCACAAGTTAAAGTTTAATGGTGGTTGTGCAGAACAGGAGGGGAGGGGGGGGGGGGGGGCGGATCCACTTTGCCATGAGATTTTGTTTTTGAGGTCCCGTTTGTGTTCCAACGTTTTGATCGGTTGTGTCCGTTTCCCTTTTGGGACTAGTGGGCTTTTCGGTTGTTAAACTTTTTAACTTTTTTTCTCATGCCGGTTTTTATTATTTTTATTTTTTATTTAATTATGATATATTAGACGTAATACTGTGTTATATATATTAATATAAAAAAAAAAAAAAGATTTTTTTTGTTGTGGTGTGTTGTTTTTTATTGTATATGAAAGGACAAAACACACAAATTTTTTTGTGTGGTGTGGGGTAAAAAAGAGAGTGTGTGGTGGGGGGGGGGGGGGGGGGGGGGGGGGGGGGGGGGGGGGGGGTGGAGGATCCACTTTGCCATGAGATTTTGGTTTTGAGGTCCCGTTCGTGTTCCAACGTATTGACTGGTTGTGTACGTTTCCATTTTAGGAAACGTGCGCTTTTCGGTTTGTAAACATTATCACCTTTCATGTCTAGCCGGATTTTAAAAAATTAACCCCAAATAGACCTCTTCCGTCAAACAATATAAACCAACCATGGATTTTGTTTTTCCTCTTCTCGGCTTCCTTTCTTCGTTCTCGCTCTTGCCGTTTGTCCTTTACTTTACCGTTGCTACACTGTGATTTTCAAGCTTTTTGGGCGCAACAAAAACCTGCCTTCGGCCCTTTTTCACTCAAATGTCTGCAGATTTCGTTAGGTTCTTTTTCAAAAAAATCGGATAGATATTTGCCTCTGTTTTTTGCTATGTAGGTCCAGGATTAACAAAGCTACGGGTATCCTATTTCAGCTATTAACTAAAGATGAAACTGAAGACATCATGAGATGTTGCAAGCATGAATTTTTTTTTGCAACGGTTATATACGGAGTTGAAGGACATCAACATCCGTGCTGTCACAGCTTCGGAAATCAGAGCGAAAGTGTTTTCATCCCATCTCGATGCAAAACGATAAAAACAACAAGTCGGACTGAAAAATATTTTCTATGTTTCTGCAGTGCAAGAGGCATTGTTTTTATGGGTTGTAACTAGGGGCCTACATCATTTAATAAGTGAATACGGTCATGATTATTATTGAGTTGAATTATTCACAGGCTACCCGCTGACGTTAAAACTTTGTCCGTTAGCAATAAACAATAAAATGTTTTTGTTTTACGTTGGGGCTAAATGAAGACGTAGTCAGTTAGTCAGTTTAGCTTCATGTCGTCATGTTAACAGCTGCAAATTTAAAGTTGCGAGAAAATTCTTCAATGCAAACTATTCACTGACGCATTTGGAAACGCTGTAAAACCAAACGCACGTACAAAATCGTACAGAGCGGCTACGAATTGTTAATATTTGTTTCTTACAGAATTTTCTTTGGTCGAGTCACCGAGATTGTTGGATATTGAAGCTCTTGAAACGGTAAGTAGATGTGTTTCATACAGGTTGCCCAAATGACATATGAAACTAAACTGACAAAAAACTGCGTTGTCTTGTGACAACATGCTCGAATTCTAACGCAGCGATTGATTATAATAGAAAAAATTTCAAGAACAAAGCGCGTTCAAAATACTAGTCCGACGAGACCAGCAACATACTGAAAAACAGCTTCCGTCTGAGAACTGGAACCAAAAAGGATTTGCAAAGCAATATATCATAGCGGAACACTTTCAAGTCAGTTAAAAAATTGTCAAGACGCTTGGTATTTTTAAATTGTTTCAAACTTCAACTAAAAACAAACGGAGTTCAGGAAAAACAAGGGAAATAACATCAAATAAGTAAAATCTTCAACAATTTTAAGACCGCAAATCATGTGAATTCCTTGAACTATTTAAAGTTTTGTAGGTCTTGTTTTGTAAAAGAAAAGTACAGGAAACGAATTAAACTGAATACACTGTACAGGGCCCGTTATATACCGGTTTGACTGTATTTTTTTTTATGCTTAACAATAGCTTAAGATTAACACCAGGGAGGCTTTAATTCCTAATCAAATTAACCGATCATAGTGTCCATCTTGTCCCCAACTGTCGTTTCCTTTCGTCACGTGGTCTTGAAAAGAGAGGTCCGTCACAAATTAAGCCGAGTGGCTCTGGGGACGAGAATGATCATTTCAGCCGATCTTGCCAACTCGCAGTCCTATGTTACTTAATTAACATGATGTTCAAAAAACGTATTATATTTCTTCACCTCACTGGTTACCAACTGGTCTACATCGTCGTTTATAGTTTGGATTTCGACGCAGCTGTGTGGACATGGGTATCGCCTTGAACTCGCACTCTGAGACCGCCTTATAACCCCGCGCATGGCGCCTAACGGAACATGGGAAGCTTAAAGATTATCACAAAACCTAACGGGCGAAGGGAAGGATCCTTTTTGTGCTGTTGCCAAACTGCCTTCCGCGCGTCGATTTCCCGCATTATATCCATGAAACCGGGGAAGAGGTGGTCAAGAAAACAATAAAGACCTGTTTTTTCATGGAAAACCGCAAACTTCAGTTTGCAGTTACGCGTTTGCAGTTTCATGTTGCCGTGGTTTCAAATTTAGCAAGGCGTTCATTGTTTAGTGCCGCCATGTTGTTTTTCGTCAAAGTCGAAGTGCATCGCTTTCGTCCAAAAACCACAAATAATTCATTGTTTCGAGATAAAAATTGTAACTAGCACATCGCAGGTGGACATAGAAAGCTGTTGGTGCCTCTAAACGTGAGGCTCTACAATTTGTAGTGGTAAATAGCCTTGCCGTAAGTCACTTACCGCTGGAAGCTCTTCCTGCCGTTCAAACGTGAACTGCAAACGGCAAACGCGACCACAAGACGGTGGTCACATGACATTCTCAAGTTTGCAGTTTCCTGTGAAAAACCTGATGCTACAAGTCTCTAGTATTTAGGAAGACCCTCAATAATGCAATTCGAAGGCGAAGTTAAAAACAACATTGCGCAGAATGAGTGGACATCATTAATTATTCATGACCGCCGAAGCGGCAAATTCGAATGCACGAGCACTTTGAATAAGCTCCGAATAAGAGAAGAATGGGCCTTTTTTGGCCCACCAGCGTTGGTAAAACTCATTGGCGGCCTCCGCTTCTGAGTAGACTGCCCATTGTAGTTGCCTAAGCAGTAGCCTGCGAACCGCAGACGTATTTCCGGTCGTCGCTTCTGTCCCTCCGAAAAATAACGCCTGGTGGACTTAAAGCCGAAAAAACCGGATGCTCTCGCATGCTAAAGCATGCACTACAAATTTCGAAAAAAAAAAAACTGTAAATATATCCTACCAGCTGAGAGGTTTCATGGGTCCAGACAGTCTAGTCAACATATTTTCACTCCGTCGAATTGAAAAAAAAAAAAAAAAAAACTTAAACTAATAGAAATCTCAGAGAAGAATTTTATAAGGCTAGAGAAATTGTTAATAATAAGTATATTATTGGAAAATAAAAAATAAAAAAATAAATAAATAAAATAATTAATTAATAAAAGTATTAAAAAAAAAAAAGAAATAAAAAA